ATTATTAGTATTTTCCCCAATTCATTTTTGCTGAATCATCAACTTCTGTGCTGATATCGAGCAAATAAATTGATTTATGCATATAATCATTTAGTGGGCGTAAATTCATTCATCATCATCCTCTAGTAAGTCAGCATTTTCCCTCATAAGAGGGGATAGTTGCTTTTGCGCCATGATGACACTCCCTCCCTCCACTTCTTTTTGTCTTAAGCATCATCCTCATTTATACCAACCTTACTGCTTTCTTATTTTCTTTGAAATATTTGCTCTTCCTTTCCCTCTTATGCCATCAAATTCCAGATCCCATGCTCTTTTCACAGGTTCACCGGTTCTTCCCTTCTGGTAAAATGTAAAAGATGGATAACGGTATAAATATTTGTTCCTCGTCAGGCTAAATAGGTCTTTGTAAGATTGTTAAAGTCCAGAGTTTACCCTGTATGAACTTCAGATCATCATTATCATCATCATCATTATAATTATCATATCATCATCGTCATTATTATCATCATGATCATTATCGTCTTAATCATCATCATTATTACTATCATTACTATAACTTTTATTATTATCATCATCATCATCATCATCATCACTTTCAATTCAAATGAATTTTATTATTAAGTCTCTAAGAACTCAATAGGTTGCATTGCACATTGTTTGTTTCATCAGAATATGGCGACTCAAAAATCATTTATCAGTCTCATTTGTCCATGGCTTGACATCGTGTAGGAAATAGACTTTCATTGCTGACTTATTCAGACTCCATTCACATACCCTTTATAGTCTAGTAATTGAGACTAATACATTTCTTTTTAAAGACAGCCCTTTTCACAGAACTTACAGGAAAATAAATTATTAATCAAGGCATATAATGTCTAACAATATTGTGAAATCTTGGCATTCAGTGCATCATCAAAATTCTTCAGGTACAATAGTGTTCCATAAGTTAGTATCGTATATAATTCTTATGCGTTATGAAATCCTCAATATGGGTCTGTTTATCAAGACTACTAGCGAACCTTGTCATAATACTTTGGATCATATAGCATCTTCCTCTAAGAATAAACCCTATTGTTGATGTTTCTAATTGGTCGTGCTAAGCACTCTGCTTCCTCAGTCATACTCCTCTGACATTTCTTCCTTTCATATTACAATTTCTCTCGAGTGCGCTTTTATTACTATTTCTCACATCTAGTGTGACTTTGTCGTCATTGAGGGGATGGATCATTGCAGCAGTGATTCTAACATTTTGGCTGCTATCTGCAATTCTAACATTTTGGCTGATATTTTTCTCTTAGCCTTGTTATTTTGTATCTGACATTTAAAATACTGTTGCTCTACAGGTGGTCGATCGATGACATCACTGTGATTTTGTGACCTCTGCCTGCTACTACTTACTTTCTGATCGCAGATGCTCTAATTTGATATACTCCAGTTGATCTAGTGGTATCTTACAGACGTGTATCCTACTGGTCCTGCGGATTGTGCACTTGTATTTCAGTGAAAAGATTGTGGGTTCAATTCCCCACATGGTGGCTACATTTCTGTCTACATTCGTCTCATGATCCAGTTGCTGTAATTTCTTTTGGTGAATGATTTATTATGGAGCTGGGATTAAATTTAATCTGTAAAATGCACTTTGCACTGATATCAACTGCTGTATATAAAAAGACAAATTTATTATTTGAAAGTACTTCGCCCTTGCATACTCTCAATCAATCGTTAGTGCTTTATCGTTAATATTATTTTTTATTAAGAATTGGGCCCTCTCGTCTGCTACTATGTAGCTTTTTCCTGGAGTTTTTTTTCTGAAATTCAGAATCATTATTAGCAGCTCTCTTCGAGTTTGATTTCTAAACACTACATTTTAGGCATTGTTAGTTACCTTGACAACCTGTTATTATCAAAAGGTTGAATTCACACTTTACCTGTGACCCCCTAAAAGCAGGACCGGAATACCGGTATTGCCACTAAGTGAATTTAGTTTTTAGCCATGAGTGAAATGGAAAAATTATCATGCAATATTCAAAATTACTTTTGTTCACCAAAATGTACAAAGAAATATACTGTATAACTATTTAAAGATATTTTAGAAATAAGTTTTCATTAAGTTGTCTCGTGTACCGGTATCTATATAACCAATATAAAACTACCTGTATTTTTTGTATAAAGTCTTCGGTTATATTTCATTTTAATGTAATTCAGATTTAAGATAAGAAAGACTCAATGTAGGCTACCTGTAAGATATGACCGTTTGAAAACACCAACTCAATATATTTTTAAACTTTAAGACAAAGAAAAGCTATGATTTTTTTAGATATGAACATTGAAAATATATATATACTGTAATTCATATACCGGTATATTAATGTTCATCACATCAGAAGAGATCTGTTTTGCAATATTAGGGTAATAATGATAGAAGTGATTTCCCTACTTGAAATTTTAATTTCCATCAATTCCTGAGAGAGTTGAGCCCTGTAGCAGTAGTCAAGATAGCGGGAAGTAGTCTGTAGTGCTCATTATGCAACCCACATTGGTAGAGTCATGATGATCATTATACCAGTCATATGACGATGCTATGGGGAATATCAGCGAGGTTACTTCCAGCGAATCATTGTATAATTTCATGCTTTGTTTCATTCAGAGAATATGATACAGAATCTCGAGCTCTTTGGAAGGCGCTCTGAGGAGAAAATTACTTCGGCATTGCGTTGCTCGACAACCTCCGATATTGAAGACATCAGTTGATCTGTCTTCTTTGGATATGACTTGAAATCTATATGTGATGAAGTTGGTTTGGAGATTGTAAGGACAAAGCAAGAAGATGGGAGTGGATCAGATTTTGTTCTCAAGATCTTAGAAGATCTTAGAAGATCTTAGCAGTCACCTATTTGCAAAGACCACCTGTTTTTAAACACTGCTTTATCCATTGAAACTGATACTAAACTCTGCTTTTTTTATTTGCTAGGAACAGATTTCTAAGATTGACATCTTATTCGCAGTGTGTGTTTCATAGAGATATTAATGATTCTTTTCTTCACAGATGAAAGTGACTACAGGATTGTACTTTGAATAAACTTCAACTTGAATTGGACACAGACATTATAGGCATGGATTATGAATGAGCTTGTGTGTTGAATGGAGCAAGCATCCTATCAGTGGAAACGCACATTCATTAGAAGAAGAATAAAAGAAAAGGAAAACATTTTTCCTTGTTTCGAGGAACTATCGTTCAACATGCCTTGAAGTGTGGTTCGACAAATAACTAAAACTCCTGATACCAGCAGATATTTTTTTAAAACTTTCTGAACAAAAAGACGTGCTTATGATGTCAATGGATTAAAAAGCTTGATATAACTTTTGGAGGGGATGCTTTGAGAGCTAGTCTCCTTCACCAGACTCTAGTTTGTGTGCTTTGAGCAACCATGAATTGCTCCTGCAAGACAACGAGTAAGAACAATTCACACCACATCACAGTGGACTGTTCAGTAGAGTCTAAGGAACATTCTACCTCAGTTGGTAAGTCGGGAGGTGGACGAGAAGTAATTCAAGTAAAGAAAGAGAAAGAGAAAGAGAAGGAGATTTTATAATGGGTTGAATATATGTTCTGTTGAACTTTTCCCCTTTGGAATCACTAATGTGTGTCTAATGAATCTGTATATGGTGCTGGTGAATTGGAGCGAATATTGGTTGATTGGCAGATTGATTGATTGATTGATTGATTGAATTATTTATTGACTAATGCATTGCAGTTTTTGTGTTTGTATATTAAACAGTTTTAATTGTTTGAATGAAAGATTATATTGATGGTTTGGTTTGTTGGTAAACTTGCCTCGCATGTATAGAATGATTAAATGATAATGGATTATTTCAGTTTGGTTCCCTTCTTTTATATACTCAGGTTACAAACAAACAAAATCAATTTGAATTTCTCTTATAATGATTTTGCATGATAAAACCTAAGCATCATTTACAAATAGATCATTATTAGTTATTTCCCTCCCTTATATGAGTAAGAACTACAAACTTATTAAAATGTCCACATTTGAAAGAAAAACAAATTATGTGAATATTATATAATTAAGTGCCCACCCTCCCTATCCCTCTCTTAGAGGGGCCTACATCCGAAGGATTGATAAGCTTGCTCAATGTACATGGTAGGGTACATTGGTTGGGACGATACATCCCCAGTCATCCCCAGTAGAAGACCAGCAAAGCACAGGTGCACAGAGTTTTCAAGCTAGGAACTATTACGACTCAACTACCTTGACTGATTAAACTAGGTCTAAATAGTCAAATGTGACTGGATGCCAGAAATACAACCAACAATTCAACAACAGCCCCTCTCCCTCATTCCCGGCCCGCCCACTCAGTGTTATTTAGGGTACGCATATGCTCATTACCTCTTTTTGAAAGCACCCCCTATCTGAGGACTGCCAACATTTCCGAACCCCCCTTTCGCGAGCTTTTCGCGGGCTTTTCCTGCCTTGGAGACCCCCCTAAATCAGGAAAAATGCTCAATGTACCCCCCTAAACTCGGAATAATTTCTCAGGAGTCCAAAGAGATGAGAGAAAAAAAACACCCACTTTTTAAAGAAATCTCCTGGTGAAAAGTCAAATACACCCCTTTTTTACAATTCTCGGGCCGGACTTTGTCGCACGAAAAGTACCCCTTTACCGGACATTTTGGCAACATGTATGCGGTCATTTCGAAACCTGAGTGGGGGGGCCGGGCCCTCATTTCATTAACAACATTTTACACTGCATTCCTGACAGTGATAATGCAGGTATGATGCCACACATCCATTTATGATCGTATAAACCTGTTGACTCCTGAATTCTCTCATTCCCATTGACTTAACACAGGGACTACCCGGTTGAAGTAGACAATAGGTTAACCTTCAATGTTTTGTTTCTCTTTTTATGACGGTATACTCAATTGGATCAGAATGGATGCTTGTATTAACCTTCAATATTTGTTTCTTTTTTCATTACAGTGCTAACTCTATTGGATCAGAATGGCGACCCCAATACAAAATCAGAGAGCGGAGTCACAGTTCTTCATCAGGTATTACTCAACTTTAAAAAAAAAATATATATATAAAGTCTGTTTGAGATATTGATGAAGAATACGAGCGGGGGGGGGGGGGGGGGGGGGAGAGAGATAGAGAGCAATATGAGAAAAGGCCTTATAGTTGCTAAGCATAAAGAAGGAGAGGAAGTAGAGAATAGAATATAGAGATAATCAAACAAGAAATCTTAGATGAAAAAGAAACAAAACAGAAAAAGGTTCAAGTCAGAGAAAGGGGAAAGGGTAGGTAAAGGGCATGTACAGAGGAGGGTTTGGGGGAGGGAGGGTTTGAGGGAGGGAGGGAGAGAGAGGGGGAGGGGGAGATTGTTCAGGAAGAAAGAAAAGAGAGGGGGTGTTGATTTTACATACAAATTCAAAGTCAATTTTTATACAAGAAAGAGAATGAGAATATAGGAGGGGGTGGGGGAAGAATATTTGAATACCTTTAATGTTCTAATATATTTCTAAAAAAGTATATGATTGATGTATTCATAATGCAATGATATTTGCTTTTTATCTTCGAAAGGTAGGGACTTAGTTAAGAAAGGAATATATAGTTTGTTATTTTTTATTTGAAGCTTTACCTAATAAAGACATAAGAATACTTATATACAGAGTTAAGGAGAGGTAAAATGAGGAGTTATGAAGTAGCTAAGAGAGACTGAGAAAAAAAGTGAAATTCAGAAGGATCATTTTAAATTAGATTCAAAATTTATATCCGTTGACATTTCCACCTTCCAGTTCACGTTTGGCTATTAATTCAATTTTTCTTCTTCACTGTACATTATGGAAGTGCTTTTTGTTGCAGCATGCGATAGTGTGGGTATTCAAGCGAGTGCCTTTATTCCATCCTTATCACCATGGCAACCAAACTGATTACCATGGTAATGCAGTCTCAAGGTGTCCAGAGTGAAAATTTCAAGAGAAAAATTCCATGGTGGAACGTGGGTGGTAATGAATCCATTTCAAAAGAAATATTCAGTCACATTTGATGATTGTTGTTTGCTTTTTTTCTTCTTTGAGCAAGATCCATTATTAGGTGTAGCAGCGTAGGGAGAATGGTTGCTTGATAATCATCACAAGTAGGTTTAAATTTAAATTTTGAGGTCTCATTTCCTGAAGCAAACACAGCAGAGCAGAAATAAGGTTTATTCTGGAGAAAGATTTTGAGTGCTACCTACAAGAAGGCTGTAAGAGCTATTTAATGCAATGGCAGTAACAGTCTCCTTGTGGGCAGAAAATGATTTACAAGTGTAATGTAATATTTTGATCCACTTAAGCTTATGCATCAATCATTGTAATCGACAATAGAACAGAAATATGCGCATTAGTGTTTCAAGTAAGAAAGCGTTAAGACGAGGTGGAAAATTTCTAAACCCCTTTTTGTGTGTTTTTGTTTTGTTAAATTGCAAATTGGCAATTATTGCAATGGAATCTTTGCTCAAATCTTCCCTCACAAATGTTCTATATTTACATGATGAGATACAACAAAGCAATAAAACAAAATTAATCTTTAGACAAAAAGGTATGAATTTATATTGCATCTGAAAAGAGAGGGTGCGGTAACTTTGTATTAAAGTATAGCACCCTTCTGGCTCCAAACGGCCAATTAATCATCTATAGTACGTCGATATTACTTTTCTGCCTATTTTCCATCCACGATTCCTCTCTTTTGTTTGTCGCCCTTTAGTGTTGTATGGATGACAACCTCTCGGTCGCTGAGATTCTCGTTCAGAGGGGAGCCGACGTGAACCGAAAGGACGAAGACCTTTGGAGCCCTCTCCACTCCGCCTGTGCGTGTGACTCAACTGAGATCGTACAACTCCTCTTGAATGTAAGTCTAACATTTTTAGTCTTGGTAAAGACCCAGATGTAACATGATAAGTTACTTCAAAAGAAGAAAACAAAACTGCTGCAGGAAAATGTTGGTTCTTTTACCTGACTGTTAAGGAAGCTTGTGGATTTAAGTAAGTAAGTAACCAACCAGGGGAACAACAGGTTTCAATGATCCCCAAGGGACTTAGATATAAGGATCAATGGAGATAATTCTTTAAGCATTTAAAAATCAATTAATTTTTTCTTTTTTTCTTCTTCTTTCCTTTCTTATTTGTTAGCAATTGTTGGAATACAATTTTCATTTTCATATTTTGGCTTACTGTTCATTCTTTTGATTTACTGTGACAAGTGCTTGAAAAAAAGCTGCGGAATGTCTGTTATAATTGCCATTCTTCAATTTTCATTATCTCATTGTAATCAGAAACGAAGAAGACCTTTACCAATAAACACCAAAGGGTAATTACATGACTGTATGAGGGTCTTGCTTCTCATGATGCGCATGAAAGATCAGAATAATTTGTCACTGGGGATCTTAAGCTTACTGCCTAATCTTCAATAACCTTTCATCTAGAAGATATGGTATTTGTTCTGATGATCCAAGTATTACAATAATGAAGGGGAGTATGAGATAATTGGAAACTCTCCAAACACTTCATCATATTTCTAACTACTATGACAGAAATAGCAAAACATACACCATTCCAAGCTCAAACAAATTCATGTGTTGATGTTCTAACATTTGTGAGAAATCTTGTTAGTCGAATCTCGTTCTTTTCAGACCACTGGGCTGATTTTTTTCTACGATAATAACTTTTTAAAAGTCAATAAATATTCATATACATGTAAATGAATGGTTCTGTTATGTGTCTGTCTTGTTGCTATACCATGTGAAATATATCTAGAAAATTAAAAGCAGAGAAAGAGCTTGCATATGAGGAGATATTTGTGTTTATCAAACAACATCGCGCTTGTAGGCCTTTACCTGGGAGTACTGTCAATAGTAGGTGCCTTAAATTCTATTTCTGAATAGACTCTTGGTATTGTTTTGGAGTTCTTGGTATTTGATTGTTTCCTGTAATTGTCCTTTTCATTAATTAAGATGTTTTATTTAGATCTTTAAAGTTGCATCAGCATTCCTTGATCGTTATCAAATTTAGTAGCAGGCAGAGTAGCTAACTGCATTGTAAAGACAGACAGCTAGGGTTTGCTTGTTACATCATTTACTGTGTCACAAACTCATTAGTTGCTAGGGCATGAGTAATTTACTGGTTCCTGCAATTATCTGTTTCTCTCTCTCTCTGTGTCTCTTCTCTTTTGTTCTCTCTCTCTCTGTCTGTCTCTTCTCTTTCTCTCTCTCCCCATCTCTCTCTCTCCCCATCTCTCTCTTCATCTCTCTCTCTCTCTCTCTCTCTTTCTCTCTTTCTCTCCCTACCTCCCTCCCTCCTTCCCTCCCTTTCTTTCCCTCTGTCTCTCCCTCTTTTCCCTTCCCCTTTTCTTTTCAATTCCTGATTAAATTTGTTTCTTGTTTCATTATTTCTTTCTAATCTATTATCTCCTTTTTCATCTGTTACTTAGAATACATGATTTACACACCTTTAAAAACAATGACGACAACATCTATAAGGACTTGGTCGTGTATCATAAGAGTTATGATTGATCAATACCCGATGAGCCATAGACTTACGCTCACTATTAAACTTACCATCAATCAAAACATTGCTCTTTCTTCGAAACTTTTAAGGACAAGTTTTGCAAATACTTTTTGAAAATATCAAAATAAACGATTCTCAGACTGTGATATAGCTATAAAAAGAAAGTTTTTGTCTTTTTATTTTAATAACAGTAACAGAGGTAATGACATTGTGTACATACACTTAGGACTCTTTAGTATTAAACCTATCATAACTAAAGACCTAATTGAAGATGAAATTTGCCAAATCATCGCCCTCTTGCAAATCTTCCTTTTCTCTTTTTTCTTTATGTCATTAGCTCATCATCACTTCCTTTTTCTCATTAGTGAGGTTTACACGACACTCCGTTAACTTGAAGTTAGGTCGTAATTATAAACTTTGAAGTTATCTTTTAGTTTGGGACTGTTGGATGTACTCATGACTACAAAACTTAAGATAACTTCTTTTTCTTTTTCTCATCAGTGAGGTTCACACGACACTCCGTTAAACTTGAAGTTAGGTCAAAATTATAAACTTTCAAAGATATCTTGTAATTAGGGACTGTCCGACGCACCTGTGCTTACGACACTTTAAGATAACTCAAAGTTATGTGCCATGAGGACACAACTAACTTTGAGGTTACACCAGCTTGTAGTTAAATTTGGATGCTCGTTATAACGGTTCAGTGTGAACCCTCATCGTTCGTGGATCGTTGTTTATATAACTTTGCAAACTTTGAGGTTTTGCAAACTTCAATTTTATGATTACGACGGTACCGTGGGAACCTAGCTTATGATGATGAAATTAGAACAAGCTGGCGGACCTGTTCCCATGCCCTGAATGAGATTATCTCGTTATGGCTGTCGATTGATGCAGTTTAGAGAGGACGGCACTTTACACTCGTCATAATATTTCATCACTTTCATACCCATGCCTATTACATGACGGCTGCTCAGACTATGTTATTGGATGTTTGATGTCTGATGTTTAAGCGGCAAAACTTGTCTGTAAATGTTTTATGTATTTGTACATTGATCATCTATGGGATTTAATTTCTGTACTTATTTGAGGGATTATTGATTAATAAGTGGTAAGTACTTTATGTGTTTGTCTTAAACGAAACCCTTTTTTATAGATGCTGCCACACAATTCTTGTACTTAAAATGTGTTTGTTGGATGATGTGCATGTGTAACCATGTAGGTCCATGGTGTAACACAGTCAAGATACATCCTCTTTCAACTCTCGTGTTGGATAATTGCTTGATGTGAGAGTGATGTATGTACTTGTTTACTACTTGGATCTTGGTTGGATTGGACCTCCCTTTTTATTTGAATTGGACCAACTAGGAGACATTTATCTGGAAGGAACCTGGTCATGTTTCTATTGACAGCAACAGATAACAAAGAAAACAAGTCACACTCAAAGAGCACTAGAAATTAAGGATATTAGTTATAATGAAATTGATGATAATGATAATAATAATAATAATAATGATGATAATATCAATAAAAAAATATACTAACAATAATGATAATGACAATAATAATGATAATAATAATAATAATAATACCAATAGTAATAATAATAATAACAATAACAACAACAACAACAATGCATGGAATATATAACATGTTTTCGAATCAAGGCACTTTTTATTTCATGGCCACAGCACCAACCACTGTAGCGCCCTCTAATTTGTTCTTGTTGTTGTTTTATGCTGTAGAATGGAGCAGACCCGACCGTGATCGACGTCGATGGCAACGTCCCGTCGGACCAAGCACCTGCTGGCTCAGAAACAAAGATGGTGATTGAAACTCATATGAAAGACAATGGTAAGAGTCTTGAACATATTCAGTAGGATCAGAAGAAATTTGGTCTACATGTGATAGTAATATTCTGTTTTTGTATATTGCTTAAGCCTCGGTCACAAATGCCATTACGAAGTACTACGGAAATTCGGGAAGACCATGGAAAAATGGGGAGATTTGTGACCGTAGCTTTACATCACATCATGATAAATGTCTCTAGCTCAGGCAACCGTGGTGCTTGGTGCATTCAAGGAAAAAAACTAGACCAGGTACTACACTTTGGTGGAGTGTAGCATATATGTAGATCAATATGTTGGCAAAGGCTTTAGTGCTGCAGCAGGGAGTTGAACCCCAAACCTTGCCGTTCACAGTCCAAGACTTATCCTCTAGATCTTACATCTGAGGAAGGTACCTGAGCCATAGATAATTGAAACTGTCACTGGTGAACATCTTTTTTCTTATTTAAACATATTTGTGGCTTACACCCAGTAAATAAGATCGATTGATCGATCTGTATTGAACAACAAGTCAGAAAAAATCTTGAAACCAGTGGGACTTGAACCTGCATCCACTGCTTTTTTCTTCTTCACGAGCCTAGTGAATAATTTGAGATCAGTCCTACTAAGAATTTGCCCTTGATAGAACCTCTAAGAAACAAAGAAACTAATGAGACTCACCTGATCAAAATAAGATGGAGGGATCGTTTAATAAGGGGTGCCGTTACTGATTCTGTCCTTATTGGCCACTACTAAGAATTTGCCCTTGATAGAACCTCTAAGAAACAAAGAAACTGATGAGACTCATCTGATCAAAATTAGATGCAGGAAAAGTTAAGGGGCGCCGTAACTGATTCTGTCCTTATTAATAATAATAATAATTATGGTGGCTTCTTATATAGCGCACATGTCCGCATGTCCTGATGCTCCTGGCGCTGCCCTGATTCTTACCTACTACTACTAAGAATTTACCCTTGATAGAACCTTTAAGAAACAAAGAAATTAATGAGGCTCACCTGATCTAAACAAGACAGAGGAAGATTCAAGGCGCGCCGTAACTGATTCTGTCAAAGCTGTCACACACACCCACCAACGACTGCCGTAACTTCAACCACACGTACACTATTCTTGGTCTTGAGTCATTTCAGACAATGGGCTGTCTTAAAGGATGAAGATAATCTGTCTAGCCTTTGTCTAGGGAAGCTTCTAATGACTGGAAAGAAAAATGATTGAAATTGCTGTGTGTTTTTTACTTCAGCCAATTAATTTTTTTCTCTCAAATGAATGGGTGATTCATCAAAATTGCAAGAATATCTGAGCCAATTTTTAAGGTATTATTGACCCTTTACGTGTAAAAAATGATATATATAAGCATTACATTTTTTTTACCTCATTATTCTTTACTATACTTTCAGAGCAAATTGCATATGTCTCCCTTTAAATGAAAGATGTACATAATTGTCAAAAGTGCAGTCATTCCAGTATAAATTCTAAAGAAATAAAGTTTTACCCTTTAAATTTGAAATTTTGATGGCTCTGTAAGCCTTCAATTTTTAAATGATTTATTCATCTGTGCGTGATTATCATGGATTGCATTTTCGCTGGAGGACTGTATTTTCCTTGACATTTATGTCCTGAGAGATGAACAATTTCCCGCTTGATGAGAACAAAGACATCCAAGCAAGGATCACCGGAAGATGGAGATAAGCAGTTTGCCCAATAGCTAAGACGCAGCTTCTTCCTGTTTCATGAAAGAATTAGTTTGTAAGAAAAGTATGCATTAATGAAGAACATGCCTGATTATTTTCAGTTCAGTGCCCCGTTGCACAAAACTTACCATTGATGGTAACTTTGCCATCAATGGTAACTACCATGGAAACCTTGATTTTGATTGGCTGTTGAGCCCTGTTACCATGGTAGTTGCCATTGATGGCAAAGTTACCATCAATGGTAAGTTTTATGCAACAGGGCCCTGAACTCATTATAGCCCCTCCCTTCACCCCTCTGCATCTCATAGACCCCCAACCTACACCCATACCATTCACACTCCTTCCCCCCTAATCTTTCAAACTAAACCCCTCTCTCACCCCTACCTCTCTTCTCATTTTAAACCTCTTACGCCACCCAATACCATCCAAACTTATTTCCTAAATCCTTAGACGTCACCCCTCCCATAAACTTTCTGTAACCCCCCCCCCCCACCCCACCCCTATCATTCATAGTCCTTCCCCTTAAACCTCCAAAGTGAACCCATTACTCCCTCCATATCATGCACACTTGTTCCCTCTAATTCTTCCAATTGAATCCCTCTCTTCGCCCCTCTACGTCTTTCTAATCCCACCTTACCCTTTAATCATTTTGACTCCAACCCCTTAATCCTTCAAACCGAACCCATGCACCCCCTCCCTCCACCCTTCTATCTCTCTATTCTCCCCTAATCCTTATGTTGAGCCCATTATCCCATCCCATCCCTTCATAAACCCACCTACCTCTCATAGAACCCTACCCCTCCCCATATCTTTCCCACTTGTTCCCCTTAATCCTTCATACTGAACCCATTATTCCCTCCTCTCTTGCACCCCTCTCTCATCTCCCACCCTACCTTCATATCATTCACACCCCTTCCCCCGGCCTGATCCTCTAAAGTGAATCCATTATCCCCTCCCTTCACCTCTATCTCACCCCTCCTTATCCCTCTGATGATTCCATCACACACGCACAACACTTCGAGGGAGGAAGAAAATCTCAATTAATTTTAACCCCAAACTAAGACTTTGCGGGTGTAAGTTGCTTGTTATGACCGTGTTCGAAGATATGTCTCTATCAGCTGTTCTGCGGCACGAAGAGGGGGAGGAGGACGATTCCAAAACCCAAGGAAAAAACAGCTCAAAAATGAGGCTAAAAATAAAACAGTGGGGGAACCTCAGAAGCGGATGGTGCACAAAAAGGAGACGTTGTGACACCTTTGTGAGGTGCTTTTGTAAAACTTTGATACCAGAGAGATCGGATATGTGGCTGTAGAGTTGGAATCGCTGTTTAGAAAGTAGGACTTGAGTTTATAGCCTGGCTTTCAAAAATTCATTGTGGAGAAAGTTTATTTCATCATCTAGATATTCACAATCAAGGATTATTTTCAGCCAGTATCTACATGTAAAACAACTTTGTCGGTTGGAGCCTAATTGGTATATATTCCAACAGGTTTGATGGGCTTTCATTCAGATTTGGAATCTCCATTCAAATCCAGGATTATCTACTCATCAGCAGAACTCTTTAATAAGGAGCGCAGACACTTTGAAAAGTTATTTGCCTGTACTGATTGTGGAAGAGGGTGAAATGACATTCAAGTTTAATGACTGAATATGGAATCATCAAGAAAGGCTTATATATTTAGGGAATACAGTGCTCCTGTCTTCCTGCTATTAAAGACTTTACAAGGAACCAGTAAGTATGTTAACCCATTCCATGCCAGGGTCAGCAACTTTTCCCCAAGAATGGCAATGATTTCCTTCCTGAAGCAGGTACCTTCATTGAGAAATTTATTCCTGTGAGAGATATTTTAATCCCAATTTATTAATGAAACAGAGCATAATTTACTCAGAATTCAACTCTTGAAAGTTGATTTCAGAGCATATCCGACCAAAAGTTGTGTCCATAGAAAGGATTATGATTTAAGAAGGACCTATTAAGAAGTTCTCGAAACTATTAATCATTCTCTTGTTATAATTGAACATTTACAGAAAGTGAACACATTACATGTTAGTATTTCAACAAAAGGCTTTTTTACAACCTACAAACACCTCCATGCAACAAAATTTCTTTGTTTGTGCTTATTGGGATGGGGGAAGAGATTAACCTTGATATTGATTGTTCACTGCATATATTTTATCCCCATAGATTTACCAATCTTTCTTCTTCTTCTTCTTTTTTTTTTTGGGGGGGGGGGGGGGGTGAGGGACGGAAATTGTTAGATGAATATGAAATTTTGGTATCAGTATTGCAACAAAGAAGTGTTTACACTTACCACTACTCGTCTTTCCTCTCGAATCCTTTCTTTTTGATGAATAAGGATGAGCAGTTTGGGAAATCGATTGAAATTGACGTCGTTGCCTGTTACTGTCTCAAAAAAGAAAGCGATAGGATGTACCTGGAGGAATAATTCATATTTGCAGAAGAGAATTGAAATGGCAACTTTGAATATTTACATGAATAGCTTGGCTCGAGTAAAGGGCATATGTGTAGTGGTAAGATTTGAGTGTCAGTGCAAGCTTTTGTGAGGAGGAAATAATGCTTGGACAAGACACAGGTAGGAAAATGAGCTGTCTTTTCTGAGCTTTTACTGAATATCGGTCAAGGCATGAGAACAATTTTGTTATGTTTTTTTTCTCTTTTTATATAACTTATTTATGCCTTGGCCCAGATGATTATTAACAGAGAGACATGTGTGTAGCATTAGTAAATTTTAATATTTTGTATACGGCTTACTTTAAATTTGCAACAACTGTCCACAATGTCTTACATTTTATTTTGTATGAATCATGAACAGTTGTTTTGATTGTATACTGTAGGATATGGCAGTGTGGTGTTCATTTCAAGTATCAACAGTTTAAGATATTCGGGGGATTGGTATTATTTCTTGCATGAATGATAATGAATATGAAAGATGGTTGCTGAAGCAAGGTTGACTGTTCAAAATGTTTTTTTGTTTTTTGCATGAAGGATTTGACAATGTCACTATCAAGAACATCAAGCAGATTGGTATTTTTCTTGCATGAATAATAATGAATATGAAAGCTGGTTGCTGAAGCAAGTTTGACTGTTCATTATGATTTTCTCTCTTTCTTTTGCATCAAGGATTTGACGATGTCGCTGTCAAGAACATCAAGAAGAAGGAAGCGAAGCGGATGCTCGCTGATGTCAAAGACTTCATCGCTACAGGTGGAAACGTGAACACTGTCAATGATCGAGGTACAACTCTTGTGAGTATATACACATTCCTTAGGTTGCTTTTATGTACCCAGGTGAGGTAAATGGGTACCTGACAGGAATTAATTCCTTGAAATGCTAGAGCGCTGTAATGGCAGCTGGCTAAAGCCGGGGTAATAATTAATTTGTGCGCCTCGGAATAGAATATCTAGATACACGGCGCTATATAAATGCCTATTATTATTATTATTACTTCTTTTAAAACATGGAAATACAATAAAACCTGTGTGCAGAAAGACCACGTGAGGGAGACTAGAAAAGTGGTCAATATGGTCAGATTATCGTTATTTGATCAACTTGTTTTATTCTGAAACTCAAGTTGAAACACGATGCATGTGGTAAGAAAATGACACTGTTATCAAAAGCTTAAATATAGTCTACTTTCATGGCAACATTAAAGAGCTTTAAAATGAATCAAATCCCATTTTGTAATTTCAAGTTTATAACTTTCACTAGCCTGTTGATTGATCATTGAAATCTTGCTATGTTTATAAAGTGCCTGTTGATTATCAGGAGTTAATTTCTGGGAGAAAATAGCATCGGAATGCGGAGGTCTGAAATGATATGTTTGGAGTCTAGTTCTGATCCGATGGAAATACTGTGCCTAGTTTGTAAGATCTAGCAGGTTATTTTGAGGGTGTGTTGTGTGGGAGTCATGGTCGAATGTAAGCCTATGAGAAGCCATGTGATATAAGCGAGTCAAAATAGTGTAATTTGGGAATTTCTGGAAATGTTTTATTCTCCACTTCCTACGAGCGCAGTGTTCCGTTCACAACAAGAAACCACATCCATGTTAGGATGATGAAAGTCCACAGCTGATGTGAACAGAACTTTAATACATCGCTTGTCACATGTCCGCATATAAACAAATATTGATTTTTCATAATTCATATGTCGAAGTGTCAGTCTTTCAACTGTGAAGTAGCAATTAGCATGTGTTTGTTCTTAATCATGACATCACTCGCATTGCCAACTCATCTCTGTTATGTTGAACTCCATGCATGCACGATTAAAATCAAGGCCGCAGAGTATTTGCGTTCCGTCTCCAAATGTTTGACCACAAAATCAGGGCTGTACAAAGTTCAAGAGCACGCCCTGTTTTTCTTTTTTTTCCTAGGATGGGATGTGGATTATTATTTCTTATTTTTATTCCTAGTCATGCTCTTATTGATGTGACAGTATCATCACATGTCTGCCATAGATATAGGATCTAGTTCAGTTAGTTGGTTTCAATATTGATAAGCATCATTTGAGATAGAATTTCTGTGAATGAATAACTTTTATTCCTGCTCCATTTTCCCTATTAAATTCTTGATTATTGACTCACTTTTCTCCTCTCCTTTCTTCCAGTTCCTCTCCTTTCTCTCAATTCCCCTCTTAATCACCTCTAATTCATGTACTGGTACATGTATCTCCAAACTCTATCTCACATCCACCCTCTCTCTTCATCATATTTATATATATCTGTCTGTCTATCTATCTATCTATCTATCTACCTATTTATCTATCATCCTTTCTATCTATTTATCTATCTCTCTGTCTATTCATCTATCTCTTTCTGATTGATGAGTTTTTCATGTATTTCACTACTTATATCTCTCATTTCTATGTTTCTCTTTATTTCTCATTAATTGCCACTGCCTTCTCTCCCCCTTTCTCTCTTATTTTTCTGTTATTTGTGTTTATTTTTTCCGTCTCTAATTCTCATTCTGCAATTCTTCTGATATTTCTCAATGCATTGATCTCTTTCTATCCCACTAAATTTTTAGTACCAATTTTGTTTGCAAAACAAAGCTTTTATGCAGAATATGAAAAATAAGGGTTTTACTTTGTGTCTTTAATATTCAACTTTGGCAGTTTTCAGTGCTAATGTCTGGGTTAATGTAAATATAGAGTCATAAAGTGTATGCTTATTGAAAAGTTTATTACTATTAATACTTTGCCTTATGATTACTAGTGGTTACCAGTCCATACTGGACAATTTCTGCTCCAGAATGTGAGTCAGAGGGGTGTAAACTTTACATAGAAACATGAGAGTTAATAGGTATTTTGGGGTCTGCAGAGACAAAAATAATGTTTGACATGAGTATTGCTTTTATGTTTTACAATGTCTTTTTTGAATTTTTTTTCAATCTATACCTGTTATTTGTTTGCCTTTCCTATCATTTTTCTGTAATGTCTTTCATAAATTAAATCAATTTAGTTTCTTTCTGATTCTTTCCACATTTTCTTTCCACATTTTCTTTCCTTTATCTGTTTGCATGCTTACCCAAACAAAAGATCTTTATTTTCTTGGCATTGTATAATCCTCCAAGATTTCTGTGAGAAATAGCCAATATTGGTCTTCAACTTTCCACATCTCGCTCTATTCACAAGGCTAAATCAAGCACAAAATAGCGGAATTCATCTTAACGCCGCATTACTTCATTTATGGTCATTAGCGGGCAGGAAATGTAACTATAGCAACTTAAAGCTTGTCTAACAGCCTTACTTTGAATTTTCACGCCCTCCAAAGCGCCTCAATGTTTGACTAACAAGTTTCTGTAATGCGATGCGGCCTTTCCGCTTCCTGTCAGTGGCGCTACAAGGAGATGCAAGTACAAAAAGAAAAGCATAATGAGAGAAATTAAACCCTCTTTTTCCCTGATTTGAAAGGTTCTATCCTTAGATTAGAATTGACATGTAAGAGGTAGGGTATGTCTCATGAGGTTTTGCAGGTGGATTGCTGTAATTTGTCATGGTTCGATTCATGTTTGCAAGCCGAGGATCTGGCTTTCTCTTGAGAGTTGCATGTAAAATGAAATAATAGTTTCACTGATGCATATCCAAGGTAATACGATCAGTAAGATAATATTCTAATGAGAGAAGTCTTTTTATTCTTTGTCTTTAGCCCACCCCACACTATACGATCTTCCTGCGATCCGGTTTTTTTAAAGGACAATTTTATTAGATATGCATGGAAATCTAAACAAACATGATCTTTTTGATTTAGGTTCTAAATAATGATAAGAACTCATAAAACTGGAATATAAGTTCTTTGAATCAGAATCAGAATGAAAGTGGAATCGGCTTCAAGGTGTAGACCGTGCAACCGCACTAATGGTATGACGTCACAACGGCCCTGAGCAAATTCAGCTTAATTTGTTTCCTGCAAGGTAGCTTGAAATCCATTAAAAAGTTTTATCAATGATAATTCTATTCACGTCCCTGATCATTATGAATTTACATGTTTAAATGTTCATATAAAATGCTATAACAAATTCTTCCAAAATCACAGATAGCCAGATCGTGCAGTGTGTGCCATATTCGTTCAATGTTCCAGCTGGTAATTGCCATAGAACATGCAATTGGCTTGATTAAATTTAAACTGTAACCATCCCCAAAGTTATTATTTATGATTATGAATATCATTATCAGCATAGTTTAAATATACCGTCTTCTTGAATTAAAACCAAAAATCATTATTAGTATACCAATCAATAGAATTAAGATGATCACTATATTAAACCATGATCAATTGTATCATTCATCAGCAGGTCATTAGCGCAGCATGAGTCAGCCTGAAATATACAAGTGTATCGATGCACTCACTGTTCAGTATGTCACAAGATATGAGTTTTTATCAATTCAAATATTCGTCCCCAAATTAGAAATTGTCACTCACGACTCTATTCAAATCCCTGTTAAGATTAGTATGATTCTGGAATGGAAATACCCCCTCCCAGCTTCGCACTGAAATACCCTTCTACAGGATATCCACAACTAACAGATTTTCGGGGGGAAATTCCAAGTTCTTGAGGAGTATCCCTCGCACTTGCTGTCATATAAATGCCTGGGATAAATCTCCAATGCGAGCCGTATCCTGACAAATTTGCATGTCATGTGAAGGCTTGATCATGCTTTTAATCCCCAAAGATTCCTTACCATGGATTTCCTCTCCCATTTGAGATTAAAAAGGGATTAAGCAATCACCCAGATTAAAGAGTAGGAGGGACATTAATAGTGGCATTTTAATGGTCATTTCACTTTGCAATTCTCGAATACTTCTGTCAAAAAAATTGTCTTTTGCTCTGAATTTGCCAGTGATGCTGGACCTTTTTTATTACGGTGGTCGTTGCTTCTCAGAAAAAGAAATCATCGTAATTTCTTCCAGAACTTCGGGGACTTATTTAGCAATTTTTAGCTCCTGGACTTGGTTAGCTTCTTAGAATGAATACTGCCAGTGGTTTCATTGACTGAATTTACTCTGTAACAAGAGAAAGAGATGCAGATGACTTGTTCTTGTCTCTAAACACTTCTCATGGAGTCCTCATTCTTTTAAAGTGCCTGGAAGATTAATCAATCAATCGTCCATGGAAATAGGTCAGATAATGTGTAGTATGATAGCTGCTTTATTTTGAAATCTAGCTGTAAAAGGATCTATGGCCAAACTACTGAAAGATGCTTAATACTATCTCCTGACAAAAGTTGTGCTGCCGTAAACTCAACTTGAACGCAGATCTACAAATTTGTGTTTCTGTGGATTTTTTGGACATATTATGCTTATCTGTTTGTCTTTCATCAGGTCAATCAAAATCTACAAAAACTTCTATTATCATTGTATATTTTTTTTGGGAAGTGGATAAGGTCTCAGATACTATAACAAGTGTTTGATTCTAGTTTTCTGGCTCCTGAGAAAAGTGTTATATCATCAGAATATATCTGTTTCCTTTCTGGATATCAACACTTTCAAGGCCTGAGAGTTTTAAAATGAATTGATTATTCTCTTCATTGTGGATCGTACAACTAGGAAGTGGACTACAATTGGTTGATTTGTTATTCTGATCGATGTCATCATTTCTATTGAGGCATAAGAGTCTTGAAATGACTGGATTGTGAAAGTTACCTTCTTTACTAAAATCCAAAATATATGAAGAACTCAAAGCAAAATGGATACCATTATGGAGCATGAGGATATTATTCTAACGCTGAACGTGAAAAATAATTCTTTAGATCTGCGTCTGCAGAATGTGTTTCCGATGCGCTCAGTAAGTTAATTTTCTCCCATTTCCTGCATGCTAATTACGTGTCAAAATAAGACCAGAATGTTGTATTTGATAGGGTTGGAGTTAAAACATGGTCTGTTATTATGCATCAGTGTAAAGATTTTATTATAATTATTTTTTTAAAGAAGTGCTTTTGAAAATAATTCAATTGTCCTTGTCAAGTAAGATTTCTTCAAGTGTTGTTTATATACTTTAATTTTTGTTTTTACCCTACTCCTTTAAGAGATTAAGAGCTTTTTGGAATCATCTATAATAATAATACGCTAAGGCTCCGCGGGGGGCGCGACGTCTCCGCCAGCCTTTGTATTCTATTGTTTTTTAATGAGATCGCCGACCCAAGTTGGTGCGGCTATCTCCTCCTGAACCCTCCCCTTGGGGTACCCGTGCCCGGTGCCGTCGTCCGCGGGAGAGTCTACTCTAGCGAATTGGCTATACTCCGCCCGAGGTCCTCCTCCGTGTCGACGTCCAGGGCGAAAACAGACGCGACATGCATAATGCGGGATATGCGTGACGACAGAGATACCTCATGGATATTCAACATGACATCCGTAGACACACGACCGATGACTATCCGTATAAAATTGTATACACAAAAATCGGTCGTAAAAAAAACTCGAACCATATTCCATACCTTACCTGGCTTACCATGTCGCACGCAAGTACGCCAAAACACGTACATTTTCGCAGTTGCGAGATCGAGACGGAGCGTAGGGCTCGAGTTTTTGGCGGTCGATTTTGTTTCGGTAGAAGTTGAATCTAGACCATGAACCACTAAAGTGTAAACATCGCGAAACTGCAATCAATTTCCATCACGAATTCACGATTGCTGCAATATTATAAAGTTTCCATAAATAGAGGTATGAAATTAAAGCCTATTTTGTGATGTTCTCGCCATGTTTACGTAATTTTGATAATCATTTCTTCAAAGTAAAGAAAATCAGACAAAATCACCGTAACTGACACGCACAGTGCATTGCCACTGTGTAGTGTGTGTGAGATGAGCTGAGTTGCAGTTAAGCTGAGCTGAGCTCGAGTCGAAGAGAGTTGACACTTTGAAATTGTTATCTGGTGGTTTGCATCATTATTGCCGCGATTTCAATATAGTTTCGTGAATAGATTTACGAAACCTGAGCTTAGAATTAGTAAAAGTATTACTAATGTCTACGTTTTTAAACGACTGTCTGATTTTCTTGTGAAAATTTTACTTTGAAAAATAATTATCGAAATTCATGGTCAGAAATAATCACAATCTAGGGTCTATTATGTTACAGTACTTGCATCAAATCAATGCATGAAAACTTAGTTATTGAACTAGAAAAATGTTGTTTTTTTTAAATAGGCAATTATGAAGAAGGAAACCTGAAACCCTGAGTTGAGTGTATATTTGTTTCAAGGGGCCATAAACTCCCAAAAGCTCGGGGGTTACGTTCTTCAAAGTGGGGGGGGGGGGGGGGGAGAGATCAGATCGCAGCAAGTTGAGTGTATATACAATATAGGCGTGGGTCCACGGGTTTCAAGGGGCCATAAACCCCCAAAAGCTCGGGGGTTTTAGGCGTTTAATTAGGGTCAGATGAGCATATTTTTAATACTTTGTGACACTTGCGGGTCACTAATTGGCGTGGGGTCAATACGTAGAGTTGCGTAGTGTTGCTACCAACTACGCTGGCCTACGTTACTATATGCTGAGGGACAGAAAGGGGTACGCAAGATGAACGAAAACAATTCAACATGTTTAATTTTTTTCGCGTACTTTCAGCGTAGAAACTTGACGCAGAAAGTACGCCTTTTTACGCAACACTACGCTACCCTCCGCCAGATCCTCAAAGCAGTAAAAGCTTTCTACACAGTAAGCAAACCTGCACGCCAGCCTACGCATAACCTACGCAGGGACTATTTTCTCATTAATACGCAGCCTAATTTCTGCGTAGTCGGTACGCCACACTACGGAACTCTACGCAGTTCCAGTGGCTTAAAGAATAACTACCGGTACAGTTGGATCGTTTTTTAAATTTTTTTTATATAAGGCCAAATTTTAAAAAAAACATGTTTAGCATCCTGTTTTTTCGAAAAATGGGAAGGAGGAGGCCCTTTTTTTTTTTTTTATTTCTTTCAAAATGGCTGCTCCGTACATTTTCCCTGACATTCAGGCTATTTTTCAAGATGGCGGCCGACAATTTTTTTCTTTTCTTTTTTAAAATCAGAAATACATTTTAGCAGTGCTTTTCATGGTTTTTTTCATTAAAAAAAATAAATAAATAAATAAATAAATAAAAAAAAAAAAAAAAAAATAGGAGAGGCGGCCCCCAAAAAGAAAGCGGGTGGGGACGCTATTTTTTTTCTATCAAAAAAAAAAAAAAAAATTCAAAAAAATTTCAAAAAAAAAAAATAGAAGGCGGCCCCCAAAAAGGAAGCGGGCGGGGAAGCTGTTTAAAAAAAAAAAAAAAAAAATAGGAGGTGGCCCCCAAATAGGAAGCGGGCGGGGACGCTAAACATGTATATTTTTTTAATGGCCTGAATGGCAAATAAAGTTCTTGGTGGTTTTAATTTAGACAGTCTCTATATATCTATTTACACCCCCCGCCCCCCTCTAGAATCCCGCGGATTTCCGCGGGTCCTGCTAGTTTGTTATAACTGTATAGTATATACCACAAGCTGTGCACCTACGTGTATGTATTTTAACTTAAATTTGAACCAAGTACTATCAGTGCCCTGCTACTGGATACTGTCAATATAGAAAAGACATTGTCGGTTGTTTAGTTTGTAAGTTTTACCTGACTGCTTAGAAAGCATGTGTATGCTTGTAAGTAAGCAACAAGGGGACCTATAGCTTTAAGTCCTCTCTGAGGGACTTCGTAATGAGGATTACTGTCTTACCAAAGGTAGTAGTGCATCAAATTGGTTTTGAACCGAGGACCTCCCGGTTACAAGACAACCGCTCTACCAATGAGCCATCACGCCTCACTAATGGTTAATATTATTATCATTATTGTACATGTTAATTGCATATGTGCCCAAAGTCTGTTTTTTTTCCTTTAATGTCTATTCAACCAGTCTAAATGATTCTTTTTTTTCTTCACAGCTTCACATCGCTGCAGCAAACAACTACCGAGATGTAGCCAAGCTACTCCTAGACAGAGGGGCAAACATCGACATCATCGATGACGAAGGATTGACCCCGCTCCACGTCGCAGCCAAGTACGGTCAGACCAAGATGGTCAAGCTCTTGGTCAAGAGGAATGCTAACCCTCGTCTGAAGAGCATACAAGAACAGAAGGCTGCAGGTAAATAACATTGTCTCTCCTCTGACATTATCATTTTAATTCTTCCATTGCTATGGATTGAAATTCTAAGCTGCGTCATTGTTTTGTGTGTAAGTGTGCCAAAAGATAATGGTGGCACTGCCATACGTTTGCTCAAATAGCATGCAAAAGCAGATAAAGGGTTAAAGGTAGTCGGTAACTTTGGCTCAGATCCAATTTTTTTTTATTGATTTAGCTCATGCTGCAATATCATAATTATGAATATTTTGGCCTGTTAGGAATTTAATTACTCTGACCAGCTAATCGGTCATTTCATTATCAAGATATTTATGATTGGAAATTGACATTTAAAAACTATATCCCGAAACAATTTTTCAGCCTGTTATGGTCAGCATACCTCCCTCTTTTAGCCAAAAACGTACAGCGTATTTGCTAAAACGAACAATTGGCGCCCGCTCTGGATACAAAAATTATCTTAAATTCTACTAAAATAGCCAATTGAAAGGCAGCTTACAGAAAGACAAATGTGAACCAGTCCATTCATTACAGGAATCACAATGCTTTCATATCCGCTTTAGATTGGTATAAATTTCCTATAAATGCATTTAATTTCGGCCAACTAGACGCAGAATACAGGAAAATCCATTTATCTGAAATAAAAAGCACTGTTCTTTAACAAAATAGGTTTTCCTTGAATTTTGATTGAAAAGATTTTGAATTTATCATTTTCAATAAAAAATATTGTAGGCTTTCAAATATTGCTCATTGTTACTTATATTTAATTCCACAATATCTGCAGCAAAGTGACATTTGATGGAAGGTGTAGTTGAAGGTTTCCCAGATGAAATGCCTGCTGTTTGAGAAAGAGCTATTTCAGGGTTAAAAATTAGTAAAAGCAAGGAATTCCATGAATTTGATAACTTGCCAAAATGTTTGATGTAATTATTGTCATGTTTGCCACTTCCCTAATTCCAAGGGCATTTAGATAAAATGTTAGCTTCCCTTGTGTTTAGTGATTGGTTCAAGCAACCTTTGCGCATTCATCAAAATCCATTGCTAGTTTAAAAATAACCAGATGTAACAAACTCAATACAGGTCAGACAATTTCAGAGATAATGGAGAGTTACGTAGGGAAACATGTTCACCTCATCATAATTGTAAAAAGAAGACAGCTACAGTGGTTTTGGCATGTATCTAAATGGAAGAATAGCTTGGCAAACATCATCTTGCAAGGAGGAAGTAATTGGTGAAGAAAAGAGGCTAAACCAGCTAGGCATGGACTGAAAACATCAAACAGTGGACAAGGAATGTCATTTGACAAGCTAATTAGAACAGCTGTAGGCAGAAATTTATCTCAAGGTTTCACTATGAACATGACTGACAAAGAAAGCGGACAAAATGTACAGTTCCTCAGGTAGACAAAGGAACATCCCTTCACTGCTATTATGTAAAAATGTGTAGAACAGGTGTCACATGCATATTCACTTTTTACATAATAGCAGTGAAGGGATGTTTCTTTGTCTACCTGAGGAACTGTATGTTTTGTCCGCTTTCTTTGTCAGTCATGTTCATAGTGTTTATTTCATTGTTGCCCCAACAGCCCCCAAGCTGTGGGACATATAATGTAGATAGATAGATGGAAGGACATGTAGAAGATTGTCTCAAAGTTATTCCCGCGCACAGGTGTAATCCGCTATTCAGAATGAATCTTACTCATTTTGTACTGAGTATGCTGCCATCTGTTGACAAGGGTTCAGGAAGATAATTCTTTCCTTTCTATTAAAATTTGATTAACGTTTAGAGTTTCCATCTCAATTATGCTTTTTGTCTAAGATCCTTAAAATATTAATGATTCTGTTTTATGAGATGCACATATAATGAATTGGTCCATATTAGATGATCTATTAGTTCTTGTATGATTCAAACAGATAGAGAGGTCCATCAGCAAATTGTGATTATTATTTTGTAAATTGTGTAAACGTGAGTGTACACCCTTTACTAAGAAAGGTTTGTATTTCAGTGCAGTATTTCACATACTTTTGGTAATGGTTTAAAGTAAAACATGATTTTTTTTCTTCTGCGCACACATCATTGGGGGAAATATGAACACTGACATAAGATGAAGGCTTTATTTCCATTGCTGCTCCTTGCAATTTAGATTGAAATTTAACATATTTGTGAAGGGCGTACTCACGTCTTTGGTACTGATTACTATTTTCTTATTTTTGTCACTTGTTCTATTTGATTTTTATTCTGATTATAACCAGTACATACTTTTAAACTAATAATACATGTAAATTATGAAAAAGAAAATTAAGATTATATCTCTTATGATTAATTTTGTGATCATCTTTATCCTAATGATCAGGAGTATTTTTTATTTTTTTCTTCTCCTGTTCTATTTGATTATTGTTCTGATTAACCATTACATACCAATAAAACATTAAACCAATAATACATGTAAATAATGAAAAAGAAAACTGAGATCATTATCTCTTATTATTTATCTTATGATCATCGTTATCCTAATGATTCTCATTACAGACCTAGCCTCATCTGAGCTGATTGAGGAGTTATTGAAGGCCGCTGATCAGGAGTACAACCCTGTTTGTCCGCCGTCCCCCCGTCCTGATCCTGATGATCTAGATGATGAGGTGGAATTAGAAAGAGTCAATAGCAAGACTTTGTGAGCAAAAGTTCAATTTTTCTCAAGTTCATAATAATAATAATTATAATAATTACATTTATAAGGTGCTTAATACAGGCGTTTCTAAGCGCACATGTGGTACTGCCTAACCCAGTATGGTTGTTCAACATGTTCAATAGCTTAAAAGCAACAAAATACAATGCAATTCAGTTGAATGGAATTAAGTAATTGTGTGTGCCTCCAGTACACTATAACTGATTAAAAAGGTGGCTTTTGAGAACGGTTTTGAATGATTCAATAGGTTACTAGAAATATGTCGCAATATAGGTGCATTGTATTATTATTATTAATATTATTATTTTGTCTAATCTACATACATTCTATATAGCATTCAAAGACAAGTACCATTAGTTATTTTACGTCTGCAGTATTTGTTGAATTTTCATGAAATGTTGTATCTTGTACTATATCAGGTTATTAGCTGCCTACATCTTTCTTCAATGAACAAATCGTTTCTATTTGTGAATTAGGAGAAGTCCTGTTCATGTAATCACAAAGACCATACGGTACTACATTTTAGAGCAAAATAAATTACTCTGTATACATAGAAAATGATATCATCTGTTGAGTTCAAATGTTAACAATGTCATTTATCAAACATACCTGTGTCTATTTTTCAGACGATCAAGAGCTACGCCCCTCTCTAAGACAGACCAGCTTTTTGAAGCAGAGACGAGGATACAAGATGAAGGTGATACCTCCCCCACAGTCACGGAGGAGAATTTTCAGGGCATTGGATTGAAAGTTGTAAAGGAAGATGATTCGGTGAGAACTTGTCTTATTTATTTTTTTCAAAGATGCTTTTGAAATATATATATATACAGAATATCTATGTAATGAAAACAACTTTGAAGAAATTAACAATAGGCATTTTGAATGCCCCATGGGAATGAATTCAGAAATCATTTTCAGATTCCATTATATGTCACAGCAATGTTGGCATATATTTAATCGTCAATGCACAAGGCTATCAAAATTGCTTTATGTTGAGGTTTAATTTTTTACTTGATGTATATGATTTGATTTTGATATATCATATATTTTCTTTATAAAACAAAAACACCCTGGTCTGGCTATTCCAAGGAAATTTTCATTAGACCAAGTGGATAAAAGAATGAAAGATCACTAAAGAAGGTTGAAATTAGACCAAATTAAATGAAAATACCAACATATTTCCTGTTCTTTATTGGTCTAATTTGTAAAGATTGGTAAATCAGGACTTTCAATAAACTTAACTGTTGATTTGTTGATTTCTTGTTTTCCTTTGCGTAACTATTTATCTTTTTATATTATTATGAAAATAGGTGCAAAATGAAAAGGTAAACATTATATTTTCCCATTTTTTGCTCATTTTACGCTCATCCAGCTTCAAATCACATTTCAAAGAAAAAGACAAACATGCAAATCTCTTCAAATCTATTCATATGTATGCATCATGATCATATATCGTCCTTGTTTTCACGAAGTGACGGTAGTGAGGAAAATCGTAACGCAAAGTGAATGCAATTTTTTTTCACTACCGTCACTTCGTGAAAACAAGGACGATATGTACATTCAACAGTCATTAAACTATAATGCCTTTACTTTGCTTCTAGCAAAATTGGTAGTAAAGTTTTCCTTCAATCATTTCTACTCTAAGATTTCTTTTTCTGTTATATTGCTGTTTCAGGTTCTGATTTTAAACTGTAAGAGGTTAAAAAGAATGAGAATGATAACTCATGTCTGTAGTAGTCATCCATTATGAGACTTTTAATCTAAGGGTAAATTTGTTTCAAAATTTTGATAGTCATATGCATTCTTTCTAAATTCCGTTCAGAAATTCATACAGAATTCCCCCTCCTATACCTAGTCATTTTGGCATACATGTATATATACAGTGTACTTAAATTAACAAGCATATCCAACCATTACCTTTTGATGTATACTTGTAGGTGTTATTTTTCATTGTCTTAACAAGTTTTTCGGAAGTGGCATCTGCAGGTTTGGTAGGGATGAAGTTTGATAAAGCTATTCTATACTCATTGGAATTTAATTTCATCACCATAGAAAATAGAAAGCCAGCTGTAAAAAAAATGTTTTAAAAAGTTTTTGTAAGTTTCTGAATCCTTTTTGATTGCAGGTGATGTGTTTAAATTCACAATGAAAGCTCTTCTCTTTCAACTTCTTCTTTTTACTTGGTTCCTATGGTTACTATCAAATTCATCAAATTTTATCATTCCACAAGAAAAACGAAACATCCCACAAAGCGTAGTTTACCTGCTTCCATCTTTTCCAAAATATCAAAGTGAAAAATATCTTCTTTAAAAATAATATTCTGACTTTGATTTCAAACTTTCCTCCAACAAAAAACTAATTTATATGCGCAAGTAGAAACATTATAGAATATCAACAAATGTTTTCTCTATAGATTCATGTTGTCTTTGCCATACTTGGTCTGTAGTGTATCTACCATATTATTATATACCTCAAATGGACACAAACATCTGCGTTTGAATAATTGATTCTCTGCTTATTTTTTGTAGTACCTGTTTTCACAATTCAAATAAAGTATTAAGGAGACCAATACCAACAAAAAATTGAGCAAAATTATGCACAGTACGTTTGGAATTCCAAGTTGTTATACTCTATTTGGAAATTCAACCCCGAATATTACATTTACATTTATTTCTGTAAAGACATATTGCAACTTAATGAATTATACAAGATATTGAATAGGTAAACTTTTTCTGTCCCTGGCATTCTAGTGGTTGTATTGCATTTTATCTATACTTTCTCGATTGTCTGTTTTCTAAATACTTATGTGTTTTCCTTATTGCCAAATAAAATAATAAAGAATACCAACCTGTATTAGACCAGTTGAAGCACTTGTAAGGTTCCAAATTCATAAAAGATAACTCCTAATTTAACTTTGGTGAAGGCCTTGTCGGATAAGGAGTCGTTCTATTCTTTTATTTTAAAGGAGTTAGTGATATGCATGTATATGTGTACTTTAGTAAGAAATCATGTTCAATTACATATGATCATATACAGTAGGCTTGCGGGTGCACCATGTGAGAGAGAGGGAGGATTGAGAAGTCCTGAATGTATATGATCAGTATACCATCTCTAACACTGTCTATATTTATATATTTAAAAAAATAAATGTAGGTATATCTGCCATTGCCAACTAAGAGTGATGATCTTGCCAGGTTGCCTGAGATGACGGAGAATGTTATACTGCAAGAACTCATGCTGAGATACAGCAGAGATATTATCTATGTGAGTATATTACATCTCCTCCAAATTATGTTGGAATTTGATGAAAATATTTTACTTAAAACTGTCTTAACTGAGGTAAATAGCCCGGAGTAAACGTAACAAAAAAGAAACTATTCATGTTCCTGATACACTTTGAAATTGTAGATGTGCGCAATAGCTCAGTTGGTAGAGCAGTAGTCTCGTAATCCGGTGACCCGGGTTCGAAACCAAGTTGATGCGCTAGTGCCCTTTCGTAAGCATTAATCCACATTACCAGGTCCCTCGGAGAGGACCTAAAGCCGTCGGCCGTCTGGTTGCTTACTTACAAGCATTTATGCTTTCTTAGCAGTCAGGTAAAATAACCACCACCACATTACATGTCCTCCAAATCATGTTGGAATTTAATGAAAATTATAAATGTACCTGACACGACAGACTATACTTAAAACTGTCTTACCTGAGGCAACACAAAATAATAATATTTTCCTGAGGGGTTCAGCCCGAAGTAAAAAAAAAAAAAAAAAGAACCATTCATGTTCCTTATACACTATGAAATTGGCGATGTGCATAATTAAATTCTGGTGAAATATGAAACAGAAAAGATACATGCATTTTTCCTGAAAGTTACTGTACATTATGAACAAAAGGGATATCATTAATTTAATATAGCTCAATAACTCTATGTGATTCTATACATGGCCTAATGAGAGCCAAAAAGGTCCTTACTCCATGTGAAAGCTTATGAGTTAACGCTTTTCAGGCTGTCAGCAGATGATATGATCAGTCCAAGAAATCAAGTTGAATGCTTCACGATATTCCTTCATGCAATTGTTTCATCTTAACCCTGATAGACCTATGTGGGTGATATCCTGATAGCAGTCAACCCTTTCAAGGAGCTGCCAATCTACTCCAGGACATCATCCAACCAATACACGAACCTGCTAGAGCGCACCAAGAGGACCCCTCACATGTTCGCCGTCGCGGACCGGGCGTTCCAAGCGATGCTCAGGGAACGCCGGTCGCAGTGCTGCATCATCAGCGGAGAGAGCGGAGCCGGGAAGACGGAGTCCTGCAAGTATTTTGTGCAACATCTCCTCAGTCGTGCCAACAGCTGTGAGAGCCTCCTGAATGAGAAGATAGAACAGGTTAGTTTGGTTTACTCTCCTAGTCTAGTTTAGGCTTGTCTGTTTGTAGTCTCGAAAAGAGGTTATAAGGTTCACCCAATTTGATGTAAAAGATTCTTCTATCCCTACATGAAGTTGATTTAACCCTCAATAAGCCCCTTTTTTTCTCTCACACCTTCTCTCCTTCTCTCTCTCTCTCTCTCTATCTCTCTCTCACCGTCTCTCTCTCTCCCCATCTCTCTCTCTCCCCATCTTAAACTTTACTTTACTAGACCCTTTAATAATTGAATGGTAAATATTATTTACGATGCTCTCAGCTCATCTGTATGCTGTAACATATGCAGACCTCATCACAGATAATTCATGGTACAAACATCCACTGCACATACTCCCTCCTTCAAAGAGCTTGCTCACGAAGATAGGGAATTTTAAATGTACATGTAGGCAGCTAATGTATTTTATTCCTTTTGTCCTATCTGTTGTAGGTGAACCCATTGTTGGAGTGCTTTGGGAATGCTCAGACGATAATGAATGATAACTCCAGTAGATTTGGTAAATACTTGGAACTCAAGTTCTCCGCAGCAGGGAACGTTGTCGGAGGTAAGTTAGACTGGAATAAATATGAAATCTCATCAGATGATATCTAAAGAATTTAAATTTGAAGATTTCATTCTATATTTGAGCCATTGAAGATGCCATGTCTTTATGAGAATAGTCATTATTTCTTGTCTACATTTATGATATTGTCTAGTAATCAAGAACCAGAATAGTATTGGCTCATCTGAGTTACATAGATTTGACACACTACTGGCTCCCAGCAGAAAATATATATTGTCCTTGGTAAATACATTTATGCCTGGCATTAATTAATTTACATATGCCACTCTTCATCCGGGTGAAGTAAATGGTTGACTGGTAAGAAGAAAGTCCTTGAATGCTTGAGCACCTTATCATGGTAGCGTGGCTATTAAGCTGGGGTGATAATGTGACTACAGGCCTCTCATGGATAAGAGTATTAGTACTTACAAGGGTACCATGGATTATAATAGTTATTATTAGTTTCAGGCCTTTGGACTAGCTCTTGCCACAGATTCATAGTCACATACCTTAACCAGATATTGTATTTTCACCTCATGCACAGCCCATCTCTCTGAGTACTTGCTGGAGAAATCTCGGATCGTGAGCCACGGCGAAGGAGAGAGAAATTTTCACATCTTCTATCTTCTCTTTGATGGTCTTACACATGATGAGAAAGAGTACTACGGTCTGAAGTCACCAGGCCAACACAGGTGAATATGGAGTGGGACTATTGGTAATAATATTCTAGTTTTTCATTTTTAGAGGAAGATTATTGCTTTAATAATAGGTAAAATTATAATGATAAGTAATGAAGTGAGATCAGTCAGATGATTAGATAGCATCATGCTCTAAAAGAATTTTTGTTAGACCTTTACTGAAATCATCCTGAAGATTACTAGTAGTCTGCCATTTCTTTTGTGGTGGATCTGGAAAGTTGTTTCTCATGCAGTATAGACAAATAGAGATATCAGCAAATGTGTACAGAAATAATAAAGATTGCCAATTTAATGATGTGGCATGGAACCAGATACATGTATATGTATATGCCCCTTTAACCTGCTTTGAAACTTCTTTCATTACTAAATTGGATAGTTACAAATGCTAATGGCACTGATCACGAAAGAGTCATAGTTAATAAGACATGTCTCATGGATTGTTTTCTTGCAGATACATGAGGTCAGAGGGCAAACCGTCGCTGGGACCGACCAATCAGCAAGCTAAGTTCAGAGCTGTCAGAGATTGCCTCAGACTGATTGGATTCTCCAACGAAGTAAGTCTTATGCAATCTGTTAACCTGTTGCCTTTGGAAACTATTTGTTCCCTGCATTAAGCCTATGGGAATGAGAGAATTCAAGAGTGAATGGGTTAAAGTAGTTCTCTTCATTGACTGTAACACATGGGTAATGATATGTGTAGGAAATTAACATTATCATACTTTATATTCAATTCAATTCAATTTATTTTCCATTAAAAACATAATAATTACATAATGAATACATACAAATAAAAACATTGGAATGACCCCTAAAGAAGCAAAGTTTATTAGAAAGGGCCCTATGCAAATATAAAGAATGAACATATATTAAATTAGACCCAATACCTATTTGGGCTTGATGTTGATATTGGTTTTATTTGTGTAATAAGAGGTCTTGCGGTCTAGTGGATAAATGACAAGCTGTGGCTCATTAAATACATTTACAGGGTTCAAGACCCTGCTTATATTACAAAATGCACTGAAGAAAAAATGTTTTTGTATTTGTTCGTGAAACAGGATGAGGATAGCTTGTTCAGTGTGTTGTCAGCCATCTTGCTTCTTGGGGATCTCAACTTCTGCACCCAGGAGAACTCTGAAGCTGCAGTGCTGACCAATCCGGACGTAGCAGAGAAGGCTGGAGAACTGCTCCATATTCCTGGGGATGAGATTGTGGGGGCCATTTTGTCAGAGACAACTTATACCAGAGGTAAATTATTTCTTTGATGTGGTCGATTGCCAAGAAAGAATGATCTTTTGATTGGATTTCAAGGAACTTCCTATTTAATTTAAAATTAGCATACAGGTATGTGAGTTTTTACATGTTCGTGAATACTAAAGTGGATGAACATTCATATTGTTAAGTTTCAGACATCTGAATATACCAGCTTGAATAAAACTTTCGGTGAAACACATGTTCAGAAATTGATTTCATTTTACCCATAAAATCATCATGGAATCGAAGAAATACAAAAAAGCAGTTATCAGTTTTCCTCATAATCACAAAAAATACACCCCCTTTTTTATGTGTAAGAAATATTAATTCATAATTCAACCACACAAAGCTGTAGTATACTTACAAAAGAAATGTCTCCAAAGTAAACATCACTCTTGAATTGTTGTTGGTGCATCACTTTATTGATACAACAGCAATAAAGGAACAGAAACATTATGACAAAGACATACAAAGAAAAGGAAGAGTATAATAATAAAACTCCATGACTTGACGCGATTAATGGTCAGTGCAGGGCAGGTAATGTAAAAAGATACATATCATTAAAAATAGCTCATAAAATTGAACATGATAGTTAGGTATATAGCCATGTAATGTGGCTATAAACAATGTGGTTAAACAATCCATTTATATATCAAGTCAAATCATACATACATGTATTATTCTGTTCTAGGTGAATCAATTACCAAGTACAGGACCCCACTCCAGGCTGCTGACTGCCGAGACGCACTGACCAAGGCCCTCTATAGTCGACTGTTCAGTTGGGTCGTCAACAACATCAATCAGTTGTTGGAGCCGCTGGATGTCAACCAGGAGAACATTATCGAGATCGGTGTCCTCGATATCTTTGGATTTGAAAACTTCATCAAGAACAGCTTTGAGCAGGTACTTTATCCGAAGAACTCTACTCCTAAAACTTTCCAAATGATACTAATCCTTTCTCTATCACCAGTCTTGTGAACAGCTGTCATATACTTGTATGCACGTTTAAGAGTAAATCATAAAGTAATTATGCTTTGATTTATCCCTAAATTGAGCAGGAAACTTTTTCCATCAGATAAAATTCACTATGTAGGTGCCCTGTTTTTTCTTCTAGGAAGAAAAATGTAGCCATTCCTTGCCAAAGCAGATTCAACTCTAAATATTTTTTGGGCGGGATTTGTCACGCAAGGCACAAAAAGGATTACACATAAATTATTGTTTGGTTCTTATGATGTATTACGTTTATTTTTCATATTTCAGTTATGAGGATGAACTGGAAGCGATGCTTATCAGTCAATTCATTATTAACTCTCAAACTTTCACTTTTATAGAGCTCTTATAGTTGTATACAAATTTATCATTCATTTGTGACCTTTTTGTGACCCCGCCCATCTCATTAGCTATGCATCAATTTAGCCAATGAGCAGCTTCAGCATTACTTCAACGAGCACATCTTCCAGAACGAGCAGGAGGAATGTGAGAAGGAAGGTATCCAGCTGAACAAGGTTAATTTCACCAGCAACCAGCCCGTCCTCGATGTCTTTCTAGAGGTGAGAAAGAGAATATGGTGGTGATGATGATGATGAAGATGATGATGGTAGTGGTGATGATGATGATGATGATGATGATGATGATGATGTTGATGGTGATAATGATTATGATGATGATGATGATGATGATGATGACAATGATGGTGATGATGATGATGACGATGATGATGATAGTGGTGGAGGTGGCGATGGGGATGTTGATGCTGCTGCTGTTGCTGATAAGGATAGTGGTGGTGATGGAGAGTTATGATGAATAAAAAAATAAATGAAGAATGAATGCATGTAGGATAAGTTGCCTGTAACAATTGTCATTTGATATGAACAATTTTGTATGGTTAAGGAATATTTGCAAGATTGGATTTTCCAAAAAGTACATAATCATAATGTCAAGTAAATTGAATAAATCAATGATTATTATAAAGCGTATTAGTTTTGCTCAATGGAACTCCATGGCTGCAACAATCGACTGAACTGCCAAATTCTATTTGGTTCATAACAAAGAGATGCAGCTGGCTCACCCAAAGATATCATATATTTAAAAAATGAATTACCTGGTAATCCATAAAGTGGCAATGTAATATATAGAGACTATACATAAAGTTTCTTGTTTGATCTTTAGAAGGCACAGACAAACAGTAAAATATACTTTGAATAATAATCATCATCTGTTGCTTGTCATCTTTGCAGAAACATCTTGGTCTCACTGCCTTGATTGACGAGGAGAGTCATTTTCCGAAGGGAACCAACCAGAGTCTAGCCACCAAGCTTCATAATGGTCCAGGAGTCAGGTCCAAGACCGTCTACAAGGCTCCTAAAGATCTAGGAATGACCTTCTCTGTCCTTCATTACGCTGGCATTGTAAGGTCCCACTTAATATATTTTGTAAAAGATTTTTATTGGTCAGAAAATGGTCTGTTTACTTTCCCACAGAACAAAAGAACAATATGATATATTTAGAACTTCTAGTATATAAATCTTCAGAACTTTTAGTTTATTGTTTAGAAATTTTATTGTAAATGTCTTCTTAAATGACTTTTGTTTCAAATGTCAAGATATGAAATCAAACTCTGACCACCTATAATGTTTTAAGTTGGTAATTAAGTTGATCATCAGGAAATACTTTCAGACTGATGAGGACATTATAATGAAGACCGGTTTATTATGTTTGTAGTTTTAGAAATGGATCGAATTCAACATAAGGAATGGAACTAAATAATTTGCTGGATGCTGTTTATTTTTTACACATGAATATTAGGTGGTAATAGTATCTGATATATTTTATCCTACTTAAATGCAAGATAATCATTCAGGGAGAAAATTACTTTTTCTTTTATATTTTGTTCTCGCTCACAGGTTTGTTACAATGTGAGCGGATTCCTTGAGAAGAATCGAGATACCCTCGCTAAATCAGTCCTCTTCACAATGAAAAGTAAGTGTTACAGTGGCTCGAAGAAAATTGGTATAGCAAGTTTAACTTGCTTGAGGACTATATTCTGAAATTGCCATATTTTTGCAAAGAGAAAGAACATACAGTAGCAAATTATATATCTTTTTACAGCTTGTAGTAAGTTTTTTAAAGATAATTAAAACTAGATCAGGGGGTGTTTCACAAAGACTAAGATTGACCTAAATTGGACTTGAACTATGGCAGGCCGCTCATGCCACTAGTTCCTCTAACCGTTCCTGGCATTGTTAATCAAGGGATGCACAAATCATGGTCACAATCTAATCATGAGAAACTATGTACAGTAATAGAAAGAAAGTCAAGTAAATGTAAACTCACCCGATTCCCAGGGGAATCATGGACATCTTATGCAGTAGTTCTTTCCAGTCTCATCAGATCTGCGTCTTTGATTGGGTGTATCTGCGCTTTTACAAATTGGATAAATTCAATTTACTATTCCAACTTCATGATAAAGATGAAGAAGAATTATTTATGGCTTACGGTTGAATTTCCGCCATGGCACTTATGTTGTTTGGCAAGACATTAATCTACATTTGACACTAGCTACCTACATGTAGGTGTTGAATGAGTACTGGTAGGAAGGAATTCCAAAAACGGTATCCTAGCAGAGCTTGGGTGATATTGGAGTGCCTTAAGCAGCTTGAGTGATGGATACGTGTGCTATAAAAATATCCAATATTTTCATTTATTATTATTATAATTTATGTTTCTCTCTTTGCAGCGAGTAACAAGCCCTTGATCCGGGAACTGTTCCAGAACCGTCTGACAAGGACTGGGTCTCTTGCACCCAGCGCTCGTCAGCGGCAGTCCAGACGGACCCGATCTATCAAGAACTCCAAGGATGCGTTTGCCTTCTTCCGCAAACAGAAGCTATCTGGCAAAGAGAGCAGGGTAGGTGATCTTAGGGATGCTTACTCCTTAGGCCTGTCTTCATCAGCTCAAGTTTGCCAAATAACCCGCTATTTTAACTATCCCAATCGCAAATTTGCCAGTTAATCTGCGTCTTCATGAGCCCGCAGTTGCACTTAGCGGAATATTTGGTTGAGAAAATATCCCAAGAAATCTTTGTCTTGTTTCCAAAATATCCTGCTATTTGGCAAATAGCAGGCTAATTTGCGCCCATCTGAGCTAGTTTGTGATGAGCGTATTAGTCTGAAGACGTAATTTTGAGCTTTGGGATAATATCCTGAGTCTGAAAAAAGCTGGTTATTTGGCAAACTCGAGCTGATGAGGACAGGCCTAATGATTAACCTGTAGACTTCTGAATTCTCTCATTCCCGTAGAATTAATACAGAAGCCACTCTGGTTCCCGTTGGCAATTTATTAAATGCAGTGTCATTATAAATGTGTTAGTTTGACCTTTTATGCTCATTCCAAATATATTTCTCCTCATTCATAATATGCCCTGATCTTCAGTTTGTATTTCTTTATGTCCAATGTTATTTGTTTTCAATAAACATTGTTGTACTTTCTCTTTCTATCACTTTTTACTTGGCGCTATTTCTTGTTTCCGCCATTGTGTCTGGAATTGCTTCTGATCATTTAAGATGAACAGATATACATTTTCTATTTCTCTCTGTGACTGTCTCTGCATCTGTTTCTCTGTCTCCATAAAGGTGTCAGTCATTCTTGTATGCGTGTCTCTATTTCTATGTCAGTTACTCAGTTTGTCTTTCTTCTATTAAACTGTCTTTTTCTCTTGTTTTATTCTCTTATTGTTTATAGTTCTTTTTAAGAGTTCAGATTAGAATGTAATTTTTTTCTTTGAATTTGTTTTGCTCTCTTTTTTATCTAGGTACAAAAGAGAGGTAAGGGTGACAGACCTGTGATTGGAACTGAACGCAAGGGACCAGCAACGGTACTGTTTCACTTCAAGGTAAGCCTCGGGTTGCAGTGCCCTAGTGGATGGTATACCCGGTAGGATGCGACCGTCATTGTTGGTCAAACAGTTTGTGAGCGTCAAGTAACGCCTGGCTGGAATGCTCCCAGGGAGTGGAGATTGTGCACACAGTGTGTGCGAGCAAGCATTGAATCCAATGACCGGGGTAATAGTATATCTGTAAAGCGCTTAGAGACATCGTAGATGTATTAAGCGCGATATTATTGGTGCTTGGCTGTGAACTTATGGATATTGATGGATTATTGCTTTCAACTAGCCCTATGTGACATTCGGTAATAATCACAAAAAGGAGGCACAGATAATCCCAATTGATAATGATAAAGGCAGGCAAAGATATAGAAAAGTTATTAACCTCCAAGACTAACAATCATATGAAATACAGCAACATTTTATATTGTTATACACTGGTTTTACATCTATGTGTCATGGATGCACATTTTGCTTTTGAAAAATCTTTGCCTTTGAATAACTTAGTGAGTATTAGATGACAAATAGGAGTCAATAATTGCTATGCTTTTAGAGTTATATGATAATTTGGTTGGATAAAATTGAATATATTATTGATATGTTACTGAATTTCAACCTTTTTTTTAATTTCAGAACTCTCTTGCTGAGCTAATGGGTAAGATGAAGAGGTCCTCCCCTCACTTTGTCCGCTGTGTCAAACCGAACACCCACAAGCTACCGGACAAGTTTACTCCGGAGTACGTGGTAGCCCAGCTTCGCTATACCGGTATCATGGAAACATCCCGCATCAGGAAGCAAGGCTTTCCTCTTCGTCTCACTCCAGAAGAATTCGTGGAGAGGTCAGTGGATTAGGAGAGATTAGATTAGATTATATGAAATTAGATTATACAAAATTAGATTAGCATGGATTAGAATGGAATGGATTGGATTAGATTAGAATGGAGGAGATGTGATTAAATGAGGCTGCATTATATTGAGGTAGACAGATGAAATAGATTGAACGAGGTTGGATTTGGAAAGATCAGATTTGTTCTGATCCGATTTGATTTTGAAATAATTACAAAAGATATGATTAGATTAGAATAGACCAGATTTAACAGGATTAGATTAAATTAAGTCATATTATCGAATTTGATTAGATTGTCTTGGCGGTATTGATTTCTGTTAATTTCTATGTTTTGAAATTTAGACTTTCTATGGATAAAGAATTTTCAAACTCAGGAGTATATGTACATGTATGTCTTTCTTCTACCACTACATTTTGTTCAAAGTGAACTCTATTTGTAACTTTCCCTTGTTTAGGTATGCTGGTCTGGTTGCTATGGCTACCATCAAGGTTAAAATCCTGGCTGATTTGGAGAAATGTCGTTTCACCTTGAAAGCATCAGGCATTACAGACTGGCAGGTGAGAAATGTTTTATTTAATCTTACTTTTTAAAACACACACATTTTCATGTACATGTAGGTCATGAGCTGGTATGGGCATGTGGGTAGGAGAAAGAAAAGCCATTGGCTTCAGAAAGCAATTATTTTTGAGGTTGCTGGCTTAACCCCGTGGCATACCACGTGATACCTGGAAGGAGATGCTACAACAAGACACGAGAGCATCTGGCAACAGCTAGGCGGATGTGGAGGACCGGAAGCCTTGGCGAAGGGCCATAAGGGAAACGAAACATTCAACCCCCACAGCGTGGGAAAAACAGATGCTAAACGATGATAATGATGATGAGGATGAGGATGTTTATTGTCCTTGTCTCAAAATTTGTAAATGACGGCAAATCCAAGGTATTTTGTGATTTGGCACACCATATGTTCTAAATTTTATGGCATTATGAACATAAATTACATTAAAAGTGTCCTTTTGCGTTACATTTGTCTGATCCAAGCTCTTGGAGGGCTATAAACTAAACACCATTATCAGATCTTAGATGATGATGCCAGTAGTGTATGTGTGAAAAAATATCTTGGACTTCCCCAAATATCAAATTGTCTGTTTGAAGCCAGAAGGGCATTAACTCAGGGATTTTTAAACGGAACTAATGTCCTTCTTGCCCTGAATAGATGTAATATCCCGCGTTAGTGGTGAGTAGCTTCAGTGAATGTGTCATCGTAATGACTCTGCAAAATCTGTAAATTTTACAAGTGATTTAAGAATATGGTTGGTCAGCTTAACCTGAGATTGATCAAGCCACATCCTCTTGTATTATCCTTGCTCTTGGTAATCCTTGTGTATTTCTAACTAAGCTGGATTTTAGACGATTACCTTTCGGCATATTGTATTTCGTTGGCTGCCTGCAAAGCTGGCGGTAAGAGCTTTGTATTGTCTATGGGAGTAACAGCCTTCTTGCAGGCACTTGTTTTTTGAGTGCAGCGGTAAAGTACAGCAAATACAAATGTGGTGACTTGTGTGGGTTTTGTTGTTTTGGCCAAGTATGACAGAGACGATTAAGGGCTACTGCTAGTGTGTTGCCATGACAACAGTCGGTCAAAATATTCAACTCCACATGTTGTTTACGCAGGATGCTACGAGCTTCTCGTCATCAAAAATAGGAAACAACAATAAAGCAATTGAAAGGCCGGTGCAAATACTTTAAAATGAAAATAGGAAAAAAAAGGTAGAGTTAAGACCAATCTTTATATGCAGGGTTTCTCATTTAAACATGTAGGATTATCCAAAAAAATCTAGAATGGAGGTCTCTATATACAGGTGGTCACTAATAGAGGTTAGAGTGCACACTTTCTTATTTGTATATGTGGCCAGTATGTCAATCAATAGAAGGGGCTGATGGCGGTGAAGAGGAAGAGGAAGTCTTGATTAAATCTAGAAAAGAGGAAATATAAGTATGGTCTTTCGCTACAGGTTGCATTCCAACGTAGATTCTTGCGTTACAAAAAAGTGATCTTGATTCGCGGTTTCTCCAAAACAAATGAATTCTGAATTTAAACAAATCATTCTTCTTAAACAGGGTTTCTGAAGCAAACTTGATTTGTCAAATATATCAATGAATATATCTATAAAAGCTCCTTAAGGGGATAAAGAAAAGTTGACCGATGGGGTGGTATTCTCATAAGTTAAGCTGGGACTAAGTCCAGACTTAACTAGAATTTTAGTTCACACTTCTATGGAATGCTAGGTTTCATCTTCCTCCTTCAATATTCATGACAAAGATAATCTACCAAAGACTATGTTGAAATTCAGTTCATACTCATATTATCTTTTTCTTCCCATTTCAATGCAAAATTAATTTTTTGGACACTTTTCATTGAAGGATTAAAATAATCTGTACAGGGTAAATGAGTCGGCAACAGGCACTCCATAAAGGTGTGGACTAACTTAGTACGCGCTAACTTAGAACGCGCTACCGGAATACCACCCATGACCTTTATATAGAGGTGGCCACTGAGACACAGAGCATACAGGTTTGAGTTTTTAATCCTATTATTTTGATTTCTGGCCAGTATGTCAATCATCAATACGAGCTGATGACCATGAAGAGGAAGAGGAAGTCATTGATTATCTCTGAAAGGGACAAAAAGATCATGGCCGCAGGGTTCCAAAACAAGAAGAGGAAGGAATAGAATTTCTTAAGATTAAAGGATGATTCTTACTGTGAATGATCTAAGTTTTGTTTATTAAGAAGAGGAAGGAATTGAATTTCTTAAGATTAAAGAATGATTGTTACTATGAATAATCTAGGTTTTGTTTAGTAGCTTTACGTTTTTTGTTCTGCTTGTATTTATTTGATAACACAAAAAGGGTTAATTCATCAGGTCTTTAGCTGAATCAGAAATATTGATCTAAATCTCCTTCATGATTTTTTCCTTGCCAGTTAGAATGAACAATGCAAATAAGAGTAATAAATCAATCAGCAGTCTTAAATGAACATGTACATAGATCTTTAAAGAAAAAAATACAAAGTAAATTTGACATTTTTCTCAATTTTGAACTTCATTTTAACCCCTTTTTCATTTTTTGTTCAAGAATAGATATCAATCTCTTTTATTTTGTAATTCACTTCTAAACTCTCCATGAAGCAAATTGTAAGACCACTCTTAATGCTAGGCTGGCATTACAAGATATACATGCGTATAGTGCATTGAGCTCAGATATATACAATTAGAAGTGGGTGTGATGAATTCAACCTGAAAGATCTGGAATTTCAAAACAAGTCAAGGAAGAGATTCGTTTTCTTGAGACTGAACTTCAAGCTTAACTCAAGGAATGGGATATTTTGTTGGCACGTTTACAAAGACGGCACAAACAACATACCTATTAAATACATGTGGTCGATATGCACAGCATTTCACATTTCATATTTGAAACCAACTACACATGAATTTGAAGTAGCTTATCTATTGCGACAACACTAAGTATCAGGACTCCTCAATCCTCTCTCTCTCACATGGTGCACCCGCAAGCCTACTTTATACTAAGTATCTTTGATATGACTGAATCTATTCCAGATGGTGTGGTATTGATGCTCATACATTATCACTACAACATGTCTCGATCTTCATAATAATCTGAATATTTCCCTGTTTGTAATGAGTATGGTTATGGTGCAAAGCGGATCATGATTTTTTTAAATTTCCTTTTTGATCATATCCTGTTAGGACAGGAAGCAAGTCGGTGATCAAAACAGATTCTAAAACTAATATGTAAATACTTCTTGGATAATAAGTAGGAGAGGTATACTATATATCTGCATATCTAGCACTTAATGCTGTTGTCTTTGGTCATTTGCCTATTTTGATGATAGTATGCAAACACTTCTTGGATAATGAGTAGGAGAGGTATGTTTTTAATGCCAGTTCTAATGTTGTTTGCTTTGGTCACTTGCCCATGCTGATGAACAGTCAAAGTGTTTTATGTAAAGACATTTAATACTTTCTGGAAGCCTTCAACATATTTTTGGACACATTCTTGCACATCTGTGTAATTTTCAGGTGAGTTATTTTTTTAAATTGCAATTAGTATTGTGTTCCATCTCTTTTTACTTTGTAAATTAACCTATTGCCACCAAGAACTGGGTAGCTCCTGTCCAAAGCCTTTGGAAATGAAACAATTCAGTATTCAATGGATAAATAGCAAACTTTTAAAAAAATACAGAAACAGTAGTCATTTGCTTGCTTTTCTGCTCTTTTTCTTTCATTTCTGTTCCTTGAAAAATGTTCCCTCCCTCCTTTTGTTACTTGGATATTTGCAATAAAAGGGTAAAACTAACTCTTTCCCCCATTCTCCAGTCTTTTTGTCTCTCTTGGAATACCCTGATGTTGCCCACTTTAGCTGAGTCCAAGGTGCAGATGGCTTTTTACCTCTCCTTCACCCCCCTCTCTCTCTCTCTCTCTCTCTCTCTCTCTCTCTCTCTCTCTTTTCCTCTCTCTCTCTCTCCCTCTCTCTCTTTTCCTCTCTCCATTTTTTCCATTCCACCTTATCCCAGCCCACCCTCCATTATACTCTACCTCATATGCACCTCTCTCATCTCTCTCTCTCTCTCTTTCCAACTCTCTCTTCCCCTCTCCATTCATTTTTCACTCCACCCCACCCACTCTCCATCATACTGTACTCCATCATACTCTTCCTCACTCCTCTCTCCTCTCTCCTCTCTCTTAACCCTCTCCATTTTTTCCACCCCACCAAACCCTACCCCACCCCACCCCACCCTCCATCATAATGTACCTTTACCTCGTGGCTTAACGACTTCCATCTAGCAAGGGCTGTGTGTCATTAGCAATCAAGGTAGATGGATCCTTGGGGAACCCCAGAGTTCCCTTCCCTCTTTCTTCCTTTCAATCCTACCAGGAATTGTAAAATGAGACAAAAGTTAAGTTCATATGACAGTCCATTAAGTTAAAGTCTAGGTTGTGGTTTTTTCAATGATATCTTGCAGTTTAAATAGGGACTGTACAGATGCCCAGTAGTACATGTAGTTCAAAACTTTGAATACCGTACTAGTTGTTTTGGTCTCGTGTGAACCCTCCTCATTGTTACTGGATCATTGCTATACCTTCTCAGTTCACAAACTTAACGTTTAAAATTACGATGCTACCGTGTGAACATGGCTATTGAAAGAGAGAGAGAGAGTGCCTTGATCAGCAATCAGAGAATTGCATGCTTGGTCTGTTCCCCTTGTTACAGCCTATTACCCGTAGTCTATCCAGGAACTCGGGAGAGATCGGCTAAAGTTCATTGTGTGATGCAGAGATAAAACTTTGTTATCCAGACAGGATAAAGCCGGGGTATAGGTGTTACCCTAGCCGTTCATGGATGTGTGTTTCACTACAGCGGAGGATTTCAATGTGGATTATTTTAATCTGGATATACCTCTGTCTGTGTGTCCGAGGAGACGCTATGTGTATGTCAATCGTGTCTTGAGGGTACAATAAACAAGAAGTGATTTTGTTAAGTGTTAATTGCCTATTGTGAGTACAGAACATGTTTACATGATCTATAGTTGCTGTGATTAGATGGTTGCCTCAGCTGACTGTGTTGGCGATCATTGTGTCACATGTGTGTCTGGTTGGAGTAATTATTTGTATATCATTATTAAAGAAGCTATCAAATGATTGTTATATGAGACGTACATTGTGAGGGGCGATAATTAAACATTTCCTTGTTTTGTACATATGAAGCCTGATATTAACAACATTTTAGTTTTGAAATCAATCTTAAGTTTCATTAATTAGGTATGTCTCTCTGCACATGAATACTCTATAGATAATATTATCCACTAAGAGTCAGAAGAGCATTAATTTTACGCAAGAGGATTTTGCTTAATGGCCTTCTGGCGTTTTTTTTTAATGATAAAGGAATTGTATTCCCAAAGGATGAAGTACAACTGAAATAAGAGAAAGAGAATTGAATTCAATCTGTTTGGGTTCAGGCGAGATTTTGTAATGAAATAATGTTGTATCCTTCTCAAACAATCGTTTATTAACACTTACATTCACAATTGTTATTGACAGTTAATATGATTTATGCAGGGTTTTAATGGAATCTGAAGAGTACCAGTATTATTCTCTTTGTATAAAGGCAATGCACAAAATAAATTAAAAAATTACTGCTTAGAAAACTGTAGTGTACACTAAATAATATGTACATTTACATTCATATACAGAGTTGCAAATTTAGTTAACTGGTTTCATCTCAGTTCCTTTATTCGTTCGGTTGATACAGAGTTTTGTCTAAATATATTAGGGATTCGTAATCATCACGAAACAAGTAAGATTTTAAAACAAATTTCCCTTATATTTTGCATTTGGATGCTAATCTTTCTATGCAGAATACCATCAGTTTTGATGGTTGTATACAAAATTAATATTGATGTATGTTATGATTATTTTTTGTATCACTTTGTATTTAGATTGGAACCACAAAGCTGTTCTTTCACTACTGGCACGTAGAAAGGCTTGCTGAGCTTAGCGCCAAGATAGACAAGAGACTACTGTGCTGTCAAAAAGGTAAGACACCCTATTGATTTTCTAGCTTTATCTCAGGCAGCAAACAGTTTTCTGTGAGGTAGACTGAGATTATTTCTGCAATTTTCACATCATAGAGGTGCTGTGGTCATATCACTTCAATACTTGACGAGATGTAAAGGTTGCAGATTCAAGCCCTGGCATAGCGCATTCATCCTTAGGCAGGGTATTCAATCAACATCACTTCTCTCCATCCACGTGTAGAAAAAAGGTTGAAGGTTCAAGCCTTTGATGCTTCTCCCCATCCAAGTGTAAAAACAAGTATCTTGTAGGTGGGTTCAGCATTGTCTGTGCCTGTATATTGTTGGCTTGCAGGAATGCTCCCCAGGGAGTGGAGACTGTGTACACATTGTGCGTGCAGTCTAGAATCTGAAAGTGCTTAGTATTATATTTTGTATGTATCTTTTTAGTCATCATTACCATAACAAATTATAAAAGTTTGCTGGTGAACCCACTTATGATAAATTGAATTGAATCAAATACCGGTAGATATTATATGCCGGATATTTGTATTTTTCTCTGGTATAATGCAGCGTATGGATAACCTAAAGTAAGCACCCATACATACAGTGGCAGTTTGTTCTATCCAGAGAAAACGAGCTTGAATGTTTTATTGTCTTTTATGGAAACCTCCGAACGCTAGTATGTGCATCGTCAGTCACATTAGAAATGTTCATTTAACCCATTGCACATATGGAAACCTGTTGGATCCTGTATGAAGTCCTCTATGGGACTGACAAAATTCAGTAGTCAGTGAGTTAACTCTTTAAAAATTGTGCTGTTTCGGTGATATACATATCTCTCGATATCCTGACAATTTGTTACAAATCTACCTCCTGATTTCCTTGTTTGGATTCATTTCATCGATAAAAGATCTCTTCATTGTGTGATTGATATACCACACTAGATTAGAAACCAGTATTCGTTACACTTGATAAAGTCTATAACTTGTGTATGTACAGTAAAATACATTTGTGCCTCATTCTTATGCCTCAGTCACACCTTTAGTCTTAGAGCTTTTAATTCAACGAACAAGCTTCAAAAGATAAAGCTAATATATATCCCTTTAATAATAGGAAATGCATCTAATTCCATCCAAGGGTATTGTTCCTTTTTCATCAGAAAAAGAGCTGTAATTCTACGCAATAGCTGAGCACTCTAATGCCCTTTTAGCTCTAACTCGGAGACTGTGATACGTTTGTATTTCTGGGTGTGGTATAACTTCCTCAATACTATGATTTCAGAGATATAATCAGCCATTTCCAAACTTCCTCTTTGCCTACCACATCCTAGTTCATTGATGCATTAACCATTCATGTTTGTAAGAGAATCACTTTTTGTGTAGGTTAGTGGACTTTTGGGTACTTGGTACTTGGTTGTTGTTCCTCCAAAAGATTCCTAGTGGAATTTAAACTGGAGGTCGTGGTGCCAGAGGGTGGACTTAAGGAGATTTCAGAAGAAATACTACTGTTAAAGTATATCTTGTATCATATTGTATGTATTGTACATTAAAAGGGAATTCCACCCTGTTATTAAGTTGGTTTAAAAAGCAGAAAATGAGAGGAACATGTCAACGGAAGTTAGATTAAGTTCCGATTAAAAACACAATTAATTATACACTTTTGAAGTTTGACTTTGAGTTGCACTTGATAATAGTTTGCAGCTAGAAATTTTCTCAAATATACAATTTTCCTTATAATTTTTGATCAGTCAATTACTACTTACGGCTAGAGATGTATATATTCATCCTTGAAATAGAGCGGCAGACTTTAGCATTTCCTGAGCGAATAGATTATGAATATGACAAGTGGGAGGTGAATACCTAGCCCCTGGGGAATAAGCATGAGCTCAATAATTAGGTCTGGTAAGCCAATTATCTGTGTTCTAAATGAATAAGTTTTTCTTGCTGCTAACAAATGAACAAGACAGCTGAAGTGATTATGAGCAGGATTGTAATCATAATGAATGGGACATAGTGGGATTTCCCAGATGTGTCTGAGCTAATCACCTAGCAATTAGCATCCAAGCTAGAATGGTAACATGGACAGGGCTTTATTAAATGTAGGCGTGTTTCATTCTTATTAAAGGCATATAGCCGTGATTCCTGTAAATAACAAAGGTGAAATCCTGTTATAATCCAACAAAATTGACAGTGAATGAAAAAATAAGTATAAACAAGTGATATCTCCTATACAAATGTAATGCATAATGTGCAAATGTACAGAACAATAAGTATATTTTGGTACTGATGAAACTGCCAAGTAGGTGTACAGTGTTCCAAATGTAATATACGTATTTGTGCATTTCAGTATGGGTAATCTTTCTTTTATCCTGATTTTGTTTCCATTAACCTCAAATATACATTATCAGGATAAGTGATTTGGGGATAATTAATCTGTCAGCTAGTTTTCATGATACTTCCAGAATCTAGATTACCTTTAATTACAAGATGATTATTACACAACTTCTTTTCCAGATGTGAGTCAATCATGTATGTCTGGGACGGTCATCAAAGATAATAATCAAAGATGATAATAATATTTGCAAAAGTTAAAGCAGAAGTCCACCATGATATTAAGTTGTTGTTAATAATGGCAAAAATTGAGAGGAATGCGTCAGTATATGTTTGAGCAAATTTCTTGGGTTATTGATGATGGAATTTTTTTTTCCATACATGGGTTGAACGGAAAAATATTAGCAATGATTATATTTAAAGTGCATGTATTATTGAAAATATTCTTGAGGGAAAATCAATTTTTTTTAAAAATACAGAGCAAAACCACCTTAATATCAGGGTGAACTTCTCCTTTAGGCTTTAATGCTAAAGAGTCAGGTTTTGCATGCATAGGGCTCTAAACAAATATATGATGTCTCGTACTGGCAGGCATACTTGTTATTACACATTTTTCATTTGAATGTGTAATGACTAATATACGGCATTTACCTTGTATATTACTTTATATGGAAGGGATTTGTATTGCACTTTGTAGGGTTGTTTACAGTTTATTCGATTCAAGGCTAACCACATAATATTTTATTTGATCCATTATCATGACCATGGTGATTTTGCTGGTCCCTTTAATTCATAGATAATTATATCTTTTGTGGTTATGATTTGGCAGCTGCAGTTGGTAATTTCTAAATTACTTTGAATATTGATCATCTACCTTTATAGTTACCTTTCCTGTTATTTCTGCCTTTCATCTCAGTTGCACTTAGTTTTCTTGCCTTTGGCCTTACTATTTTATCTTAAACTTTTCTCTTCAATATGTTCATACTCTGTAAAGACACTTGTGCATTCTTTTAATTGTAAGTTTTATTTGGTGAGATATGTGACTTCCCAATAATACCCTTCTTTTCCTCTTTCTCTTTATCGTCCTTTCATCCTTCTCACTCTCCTTCATTCTGTCTCATTGTTGCCCTCATTTTTCTTTCTCTCATTCTCCCTCCCTCATTCCCTCTCCCCATCTCCCCTCTCTCATTCTCTCACTGTCTTTTGATTTTAAGTTTTATTTGGTGAGATTTGGGACTTCCCAATAATAACTTTCTCTTCCTCTCCCTTTTCCATCCTTCTATCATCCTTCTTTCCTTCTCTCTCTTCTTTATTCTGTCTCATTGACACCCTCCTCTCCCCTTTTCTCTCTTTCTCATGTACTACTACTCCCTCCCTCACTCCTTTCCCCTCTCCCCATCTCCCCTCTCCCAATCTCCCCTATCTCATTCTCTCACTGTCAGACATGCATCAATAAATCAATCAATTGTCTCCCTGTCTGGCTATCTAATGCAGAAATTATTCAAATCAATTTGGCCACTCAGACGAAATAAAGCATGATACGAAAACTCTTGATCCCCCCTTGACCCCCCTCCCAAAGTGGTTGATTCCTGCCCTTGCCCGCTCTTTTTTTTCCTCTCTCTCTCTCTCTCTCTCTCTCTTTCACTTTATATCTGTCTGTTTCTATCCACCGTCTCTGTATTCCTTCCTTTCAAACTTTGCCATTCTCATGTTTTGTTTAAATCTTTGTATCATTTATTTCCTAATGTTATTATTCCATTAGCATCCTCTTTTGTCTTCTTCCACTCTTTCTTTTTCCCTCTTGCCCCCTCCCCCCCCCCCCCCCCCCCCTCTCTTTCTGTCTTGCCTTTCCCTTCTCTCTGGCCGTTATCTTCTGTTAGTTTTCCTTTTCTGTTTAAATTTAAATGACTGTAAATTATACGCTCCCCCTCTCTCTCTCTCCCTCTCTCTCTCTCTCACATACACATACATGCGCACACACTCTCTCTCTCTCTCTCTCTCTCTCTCTCTCACTCTGTCTCTCTCTCCCTCTCTCTGCTTACAGATACATTTATGCTCTATCTATACAACTATTTTTCTTCAATTATGTCTATAACTTATCTTCCTTAATCACAGTGATCCATCAAAGTAATGAGTTATCACTTTATTTTCCTATTCCCCATGCACAGATCTGCTACAATCTGTCCATTTTCTCAGTCCCTATCAAAAGTGCATCCATATCTATCTTCAATTTTCTCCAAACATCACACACTCTCATCTCCCCCCCCCCCCTCCTCTCTCTCTCTCTTTCTCTCTGTCTGTCTCTCTGTCTGTATGTCTGTCTCTCTCTGTCTCTTCTCTCTCTCTCTCTCTCTCTCTCTCTCTTCCCCCTCTCTCTCTCTTTCTTCCCCCTCTCTCTCTCTCTCTTCCCCCTCTCTCTCTTCCCCCCTCTCTCTCTTACTGTCCATTGATTTGTCTTTCTCTTTTATACTCTCACTATCTCATCTTTTATACCTCACCCCTCTTTACCTCTCAACCTCTCTTATTCTATCTCTTCTGCTGTCCCCTGTCTCTCTTCTCTCTCCCTCTCTGTCAAATTTGTCACCACTGTCATGCAGTCAGTTTGGTTTTAATATTTTCCTTTCTCTTTTCATCTTTCTTTTCACCTTCTTTCTATCTCTCACTCTCTCTATATCACCTCTCTATCACC